CCTCATCAGCTGCTGTAAACCTGAAAATGGATAAAAGAGTCATTTATGTGCACCGAGGGACGAAGGGTGACCTTTTGTGTGAAGTTGTTGCCCCCAGCCAGACATTTACATGGAGCTGTCAGAACTGGGAGCAGAGCTGAGGCCCTCCCGCTCCAGCCGCTGCACACAAAGAAGGACGTAAATTGATAATGTACAACGCAGCCTGAAGGGATGAGCTGCGTCTTCTTCCTCCTCCTGTTTCCTTTTCTTCTTCCCTGGCAGCTGCTCCGCACATTTCACACTCGTTAAAGCACATGACATGCATAGACCTACAGCAGGTTCTGCATTCAGACGCCTGTTCTCTCCCTTTCTGCGCTGACCGCACCGTCTGTGCTTCCGTATGCATACATTGTTGAGAAGCTCTAATTAAAGGACGAGTTTGGAACATGACAAAGAGAAGCGGTGAAAGCCTGCCTGTCTGCATTGGGTTTATTTGCTGTGAATTTGTGTTGATGCAAATTTAATGAGCTGGAACTGAGGAAGAAGAAGAGAACTCTGATATGCTTACTTATTTGAATGTACGTAACTATGGTTACACAAACATGAAAGCAACAGGAGCCCTTTTCAGTCCAGGTTTCGTTTCACCCGATGACTCTCGATGTAAGGAGGATGCAAAGGAAGAGAAAAAGAAGCACAATGCTGCTGTATAGTTTATTATGAGAGAAGAATGTCTCTCCATCATGGATGCGTTTCTACCGTCGCTACGTTCAGACACTTAAAATGGCTCCGATGCATATTTTGTTTAACCTCTGCGACTTTTTTGTTGTGATCTGGAGCTTTATGAATAAATTGGTTGAACTGTGTAACCAGCAGTAGCTCTGCTTGTCACAAACAGAAATTAGGCTTTCAAATTAATCAAATCGCTCTTATGAAAAAAAGACATGATAGACAATTATTCAAAGCAAAATCTGTTTGTTGGAAATTCAAACCAAGAAATAAGAAAAAAATAATAATAAATATGTTAAAGCTTTTAAAAAGTGTCAGATGAAGGTTTCTGAGATGGGAATGAGTGTTTATTAAAATGCTGTGTCCAAATAGGAAGAATAACAGCTTCAATGTGTATTTCAAAACAAAATGCTGTAATAAAAACAGTTTTTGCAAAAACTTGAATAATTGTGAAGCTGTTATACCGACAGGCTGTGTTTAGAACGGCCTGTCGGTATATAGGGAATTATAGGGAATAACTCCAAACATTTCCAAAACTAAAGCTTCCAAATGGCTGTTTGGCTTCTGCCCTGTTACATTATGAGACCTATAGCAGCCATATTGGAGATTTGAGACTCATAAGCCTCTTTCCTACTGAAAATCGCAGGTTAAAGCGTGTTTTTCAAACACGGGTCGACTCGCTAACTATTAGCGTTTAGCTCCCTTCCCATTGGCTAAAAAGCCTCTAACCCCTAGCGGGTACCCGCGTTTCCACTGTCCCCCTGCCCCTGCATGTCTGGTGACATCATCACTCTGGGTTAGTGTCGATGATGTCACCAGTGCGACAGAAATCAGGATAGTAAACAATGGAGAGCATCATGGAAGGAAGCCAGAGCGTAGTCAGTGAGCTTCATTGTTTCTCTCTATTATCTGTCTGAATCCCTCTCAGCAGAGCTGCTCCATGTTTATGGCGTGGTGTGTTGATGTCCGTACGATGCGTTCAATGGTATCATGTAATTTAGCGGGTCCACCCGGCTCTGGTGTTCCCACAGCATGCTGATCAGAGCCAAAAAGATTTTAATACAGGTCGCCATCCGAGTCGTTTGACCCAGGTAGACATGCGTCAGTGAACTGTTCCCACTGCCACTAGAAGCCCACAGTTCTGGTTTAAATGGGTTCAGACCAGCAGGAAAAGGGTGATAGTATTCATATCAGGGCTGTGACTGCGTACCAGACTACAGCTGAGGAAAACCATGAATGCTTCATATTTATTTTGACTGTGGAGCTCACAGGTCCCCCGTCCGCAGTGGCGCCTCCAGAAATGTTTCATGGGAGGGCCAGATGGGGCCACTAAAAATCTTGGGGTGGCCGCTGAAACTAAAAGCCATTATTTCAGAGTTTGGATCTACTATAGTGATAAACCTGCCTCTAGATTTCATAACGAGTTCAGTAAACACCTCCTCAGATCTTGGTTAATTGTGGGATTTTTAATATTATGTTGCTGCCAATGGCAGCCCCACTGGCCACCCTATTGGCAGTTGGGTGGCCAGTGAGGCTGCCAATAACCAAAGTTTCAGTGACTGACCTGGTTTCATCTTTAAAAGGATAGTTCGGGATTTTTGACATGAATCTGTATGGCATCCCCATCACCAGTGTCATGCAATCACACTGACTTACCCCTGGCAGCATCCTGTGAGCAGAGTTCTCGTCCAGCTTTGGTCAAGCCGAAAGTAGTCCGGCAGGTTTGCTAGACCCAGCGAAATAAAACGTTTCTCTTCCCAAAACATTATGTGTTCAAAAGAGCGATATTTTTGCATCCCAAAAACATTGTAGTGGAAAAAGTCACACGTCGTTATCACTTGGTCCTATTTTCTCTCTGTTCGTATCAGTGCGTGCCGTCATTCTGACTGTGATGCAGACAGCAGCTGCTGCAACTCCGACATCCTCATCAATGGAAAGGTTCTGTATCTCGGGCATTACTAAATCCCACTCGTGGCAACAGTAGCATCCACCTCTGTCTGCATTAATTCGCACTTGAAACAAGTGCACCATGATTTGTCGGCCACCCTGGATATCGCAGCTCCAGCTGCGGCTGCTGCAGCTCCGGCTTCAGCTTCCATCACTTCTCTGTCCACCCTCTCTCTTTCTGCCCGATCTAACTCCATTTGTCGCAGTTCATCGTCAGTGTACTCGGGTTCATAAAGATATCCCTTTGGCTCTAAGTGGAAGTCAATGTTTTCCTCGTCGCTCTCGTAGTCAGACATCTTCCCCAGTAGTAAACAATCGCGAATCAAACAGGTAGGCCCTAGCTGTCAGGTCATGGTGTCGCGCGCACTGATACGAACAGAGAGAAAATAGGACCAAGTGATAACGACGTGTGACTTTTTCCACTACAATGTTTTTGGGATGCAAAAATATCACTCTTTTGAACACATAATGTTTTGGGAAGAGAAACGTTTTATTTCGCTGGGTCTAGCAAACCTGCCGGACTACTTTCGGCTTGACCAAAGCTGGACGAGAACTCTGCTCACAGGATGCTGCCAGGGGTAAGTCAGTGTGATTGCATGACACTGGTGATGGGGATGCCATACAGATTCATGTCAAAAATCCCGAACTATCCCTTTAAGTAATGACTCGTCATCAAAGAACCTGCTGCCTGGATGCTGATTTGATGAAAAGACAAGCATTTTGAGAAGAAGTAAAAAGTATGGTTGTGTTTTGAAAAGTACTTTTTTTTTTAGCAAAAAGTTACTAAAGTAACTCACCTTGTTGGAGTAGCTCCGTAGTTTTCCAGCGCTTATGTTTAAGTCTCCCCTGTGATTTTGTGTTTCTCTTGTAGCGATTTGTGTTCATTTCTCACCATATTTCTCACGGTTCTGATCCTGCTGAGAGAATATGACCACTGATCACCGTGGGTCATTCTTTAGACTGCAAATAATGATATCGACCTCAGATCCGCCAGGAAACCTCCATTGGAGCAAAGCTACATGGGATACAAAAAAATGAGCATAAGTGTGTTTGAGGTTTACAGTCTTTAATGAATGTAAATAATAATAAGAAACTGGTGATTTTCTATGAGAAAATAAAAAAGTAAATTGAAACGTCTGAGCTGATTGAGGACAGGTAGACAGTTCAGTGATTAGTTAAAACAGCCAGGAGGAGCCGACTGATCATCATGGTTCCTGCTTGTAGGACGTCGACATTAACGCAGCATCATCAGGAAAGACCAGAGAGCAGCAGGCCGAGGTGACGGCCTGAAGGGAGGGGGTCTGGGTCGCACCTGTACCTCCAGCTAGCCCCTAATGAATGTCCCCTGCATGGGAGTGATGGGCTAAGAACGGCCCTTAACGCCAACAGCAGCGTGTTTCATCCGCCTCTCATCCTTCGTTCTATCCTCCTTTTCATTGGTCATCTATTAACAGGAAAGGGCTTCTGCCAAATAGAAAAAAAACACTTAGAGAAAGCAGGACCTTATGTTTGAATCCCACTGTGGCTGTGCCAACCGGACTAAAGAGGAGCTACAAAGCGGCTAAGTGGACGGGCAAGCAGGGGCGACTGTAGGGGGATGAAAGGGGTGGGGACGGGGGGGGGCGTACATGAGGAAGAGAGGGACAGAAAGAAGGCAGAGCAGAAACACACAAAAACAAAATCCAGTAATCAAAGCTAATGGCTCCATTGTGTGTAGAAAGCATCTGATAGCTTTATGGAGCAGCATGGAGAGGTAGCAGTGAGGAGGAGGAGGAGGAGGAGGAGGAGGTGTGGTCCTGGTCACTGCATGTGGGGGGGGGCAACACCTGCTTCTTTGTGGCTTTAAAAGCTGAGAGGCGCACACACACACACACCTCTCTTCTTAAGAGGGTTATTACAGCGCCCTGTGTATTTTCACTTTATTATTATATTCAGCGTAGTTATGATTGTCGGCCCCTCTGCTTACGAGGGCCGCCGCCCCCTGCGCCGCCGCCTGTTGCCTCTGCACAGACCTCCATCATCAGCAGCACTCAGATGCAGGAAATTACAGGGGAGTGATGTGGGCGGGGGGAGGGGGGGTTGTTTTCCATGTAACCCTCATTGGTGATGAAGTGAACATGATGTTAGCATGTGCAGCAGAGTGTGCTGTGGTGAGAGCTAAGGTGTGTAGATGCGCTCTTCCTCTCTGCTTCCTGTTGTTCTGAATGGGAACATTTGGAACAAACCTTTTTATAGCAGAAACAGAAACAATGGATGCTCTCTCCAGAATGAACCACTGACTGTCTTCCTCCCTCTTTCCTCCCTCTTCCTCCCTCTTTCCTCCCCCTTTCCTCCCCCTTTCCTCCCAGATGAGTGTGGAGGGTGACGACAAGCGAACTCGCACTCGGTCAAAGGGAATCAGAGGTGAGTGTTGGGGAAATCTCTCCACCTTGTCAGGTTTAAATGTGCTCCTCATTCTCCACTAAAGCCATCTGCTCCCCCACTGGAGCCAACTGGGATTCTGTTTGTGTAAACTGGGTTTGTTACTGGTGGAAGTTTAGAAGATTTCCTTCTACGAACACCAGGAAGTTGACATTTTAACAGCTTGTCTGACAATCTGCTTCAGTATAAGATGAGTTATTGTTTCTAGTTGGATTTTAAAGCCTCAGATCAGATAAATAATGTTTTATTTAAAGATTGGCCTCATTTTTTATTAATGAATTATTCTAAAGCCAAACTGTTGATCTCACTTTAGGAAGCATTTAGGATCTTTGGATTTAATTTTGAAATTGTTAGGATGACATTGATTAACTTTTTATAAATTAAATAAGACATGTTGCTTTTTCCTCCCTTCCTCCCTTCCTTCCTTCCTTCCTTCCTTCCTTCCTTCCTTCCTTCCTTCCTTCCTTCCTTCCTTCCTTCCTTCCTTCCTTCCTTCCTTCCTTCCTTCCTTCCTTCCTTCCTTCCTTCCTTCAACCTTTTCTTCTTTTGTTTTCCTTCCTTCTTCCTTCCTTCCTTCCTTCCTTCCTTCAACCTTTCCTTCTTTTGTTTTCCTTCCTTCCTTCCTTCCTTCAACCTTTCCTTCTTTTGTTTTCCTTCCTTCCTTCCTTCCTTCCTTCCTTCCTTCCTTCCTTCCTTCCTTCCTTCCTTCCTTCCTTCAACCTTTCCTTCTTTTGTTTTCCTTCCTTCCTTTCTTCCTTCCTTCCCTCCTTCCTTCAACCTTTTCTTCTTTTGTTTTCCTTCCTTCTTCCTTCCTTCCTTCCTTCAACCTTTCCTTCTTTTGTTTTCCTTCCTTCCTTCCTTCAACCTTTCCTTCTTTTGTTTTCCTTCCTTCCTTCCTTCCTTCAACATTTCCTTCTTTTGTTTTCCTTCCTTCCTTCCTTCCTTCCTTCCTTCCTTCCTTCCTTCCTTCCTTCCTTCCTTCCTTCCTTCCTTCCTTCCTTCCTTCCTTCCTTCTTTTGTTTTTATTCCTTCCTTCCTTCCTTCCTTCCTTCCTTCCTTCCTTCTTTTGTTTTTATTCCTTCCTTCCTTCCTTCCTTCCTTCCTTCCTTCCTTCCTTCCTTCCTTCCTTCCTTCCTTCCTTCCTTCTTTTGTTTTTATTCCTTCCTTCCTTCCTTCCTTCCTTCCTTCCTTCCTTCCTTCCTTCCTTCCTTCCTTCCTTCCTTCCTTCCTTCTTTTGTTTTTATTCCTTCCTTCCTTCCTTCCTTCCTTCCTTCCTTCCTTCCTTCCTTCCTTCCTTCCTTCCTTCCTTCCTTCCTTCCTTCCTTCCTTCCTTCCTTCCTAACCCAGTCAGTCTCTTATTTCCCTAAGCTTCATGTTTCTTCATGTTTTAGAACCCAGAGAATAAATTTATTTTCATCTTCTGTTCGGAGCCTCTAAACTAGAAGGAATAAAAAATCCCCGCTAGGTTTTTATGTAGGTGGTTTAAACATTGTGGGTTAGAATAATTTATTAACCTATTGTTTTTTATTAATTAACTTTTTCCTACAGATGATTAATAACAATGAGAATAGAGACACATTTTACATATTTTAAATATTTCTATTTAAATTATAGAAGTAATATTAGTTAAATAATTAGAGGAATCAATAAAGCAGGTTTTTTTACTATGGTGTATTTTAAACATTAAGTTTGACGTTTTCAGGTAAGTTTATATTAAATGACTGTTAGTTGATGTAAACATCCGTGGTCTGAAAAGCAGCCGCTCTGGTCTTCTGCTCAGTGACTCTGTTCTTTCTGTGGATCCTCAGCAGAGGCAGCGGCGTGTGCCGCAGCCATGACCGACTCGCTCATATTAACATATTTAGAAAACTTTCTTTGTTTAGTGCGTTTGGGTGTGTGTTTGATGTTTTGAAGTGAGACAGAAGAGTGGCAGTTTATGGAGCGTTCAGAGCGCCAGCCGCCGTCCAGTCAGTCCAACCGCATGATGACAGACTAAGAAACTGAAACGCTACACACACACACTCACACACACCCATACTCGTTCTGCTATATGTAGTGAGGACCAAAAGTTGACTCCCATTGATTTCCATTGATTTTCAGTCATTTTTAACCTTTCTATGCTCTAACCCTAAAACCAAACCCAACCATCATGCATACCCCCCCCCCCCCCCCCCCCCCCTAACGCTATTGACACCTTAGCTTTAAACCTAACCGTTAGCAAAATAGCTAGTGAGGACCAGCAAAATGTCCTCACTTAACAACAACTGGTCCTCATTGTGATAGTGAAACAGGAAAAATGGTCCTCACTTTGATGGTTAGACAGGTACACCCCCCCCACACCCCCTCAGTTAGAGGCCTGTGTGCGTTACTGTTTATTCTCTTCCCTCCTGGAGGATCCAGATACTCAGGCTCCTTCTGAAGTCTGATGGATGCCTGAGATTTCAGAGCCCAGTCCGATGTCTTTAGGATTCTGTCCTTTCCTGATTTTGCTCCAGATGAAAACAGGATACCCCCCTCCTCCGCTAGTCGATGGCCTCGGCCTGCCAGGAGCGCGCTGCTGCGCGTGAACACAGCTTGATGGATGTTTTCAAGGCAATTACTATAAGTTGCCCCTGAAAGAGGGGATGTTTCCTTCTGATGAGAGAAGTTTGGGTTTATAATTTAATTTCTCATTATGCTAACTGAAGTCTAACAATTCATCTTGTTTTTCTGCTGTAGTCTGCGTATAATCAGCCTTTTTCTCAGCAGCTGCTATAGGTTTTCTGTTTCTGCATTCATTCCACCTGTCAGGTTTTATGCTGAGTGTTGTGCTGCTGTGTGTTTCTGCTTATATCTGTATGTATGCAGGTGTGTGTGTGTGTGTGGGGTGGGGTTTGTGTGTGAACTCAGGAGGTGTGTTTTTTTTCACGGATCACACTCAGCAGCGTGTAAACCTCTATGAGAAAATCCTCATGGGGTTCGTATGCATTTGTGAAGTATTGATCTGGGATCTTTTAGCAGCGCCGCCGCCGCCGCCGCGTTGTGAGCAGTCATTCACCTTTGTTCTACCTCCCTGTACCCCCCCCCCCCTCCCTTTTTTCTTTCAGTTCCTATTGAGCTCATAGGACAAGAGCTGAGGTAAGGAAACACCTTCATCTTTGTGCAAAAGCCTTTCATAAAGTTCTTTTATGTGCGCCGCCGTGCAGCAGTCCCCCCCCCCCCCCCCAGCACTAATAGACCAGCGGTGATCCTTTAAACAATGCTGTATAATACTAGTTTTTATTCTTTATTATCAGCTCTCTGCAGCTCATGGTCAGGGCCTCCAATGTGCTGTTATTGATTTCTGGCAGCCTTTTGCTGTTTCCTGCTATGAGCACCTACTGTAGATGTGATAAAAGAGCTGTGTGATCTCTTTGCTTCCAGATCGGAGCACAAGCACAGGACAGTCGGGGCTGATGATGTAGTTTAGTCTTTCGGCTTCACCTTCTTGTAGATTCCCACCCATTAAAACATCTTATTGTAGCAGAAAGTCACTCCTCCTCCTTCTTCATGCCTATAAATCAGACCTCCATGCAGGCTGCAGACCTTTACATTTCCTCAATATGTGATGCTTTCTTTTGAAAATGACGGTTTACAAATTGCCAGGTATTTAAGCTTCTGATAAAGCAGCATTTTTCATTTTAACCAACTGAGAAAGTATCAACTAAACTGTGTTATAAACAAATATTGTGGAAATTTGTTGTTTCTGGAAAAGACTTTCATGGCTCGGCCTTTTAAAGTATGAGGAATCTGTTTACCCTGCAGATTACAGAGCCGCGTCGTTTTAAAGAGACAAATTATAAAAAAAAAAAAAAAAGACAGATTGACCTTTTGTTGGGTTTTAGTCCAAAATGCCGGACTAATAACAAAAGATAAAATAAAATATAAAACATCGCAAGGAGAAAAATACAGATTGTTTTGATCTTTTTGGGTTAAATTATGAATCAAATATATTTTTGAAGAGAAAAGGTATAATAAAATATACATTTTCACAATGTAATCGGTTAGCATAGCATAACTAGTCTAGTTTGAAGATTCATAAGAGAACAAACTGATTTTTTAAGACAAATTGGTGTTTTTTAACAGATTTCACAACTGGGCTGGCACAAATGTAATACTATGATACACATAATGTTTTTTCACTGGAAGAACAATTTCATATATAGTTTTAACTGTTTATGCCTTTATTGTAAAACGCATCCATTTATGGATCAGGTAAATGAATTGTTATGAGGAGAAGACGCGAGACATGAGATATAGCATTAGAATCGCAGGATACATTTCAAGGTGTTTTTAATTAAAGTGGAACATTATCTCTTAAGTTATGAAGAAGGTTTTAATGAATGATTAGAATTTTGCAACAATTGATTTAAAAACAAATGATGTGGTGAAAATTACTGGTTGTTTTGGAAATTACAATGAATGGCCATACAGACAACAACATTTTCTTTTTAAAAAATTTATGGAGCATAATAATAAATAATAATGGTAAATAAATACATTATTAAATAATAATAAATGAATTACAGTTGTGCATAGGTGGTACTAAGGGTGGGAGAGAGGGGGGTTGGCACCACCGCAAAATGCTTAGCATGTAAATTATAGTTAGAAACATGTCAAAAGTGTTATTTTATAATATTACCATGTTATTGTGATAATAAAATGAGATAAATAAAATGTGAGAACAAAGGCCTTGTATGTGTATCTATGAATTACGCCTACACACGTAAATGTAATTTTCACCAAAGAATGCAATGTGGTGGAAATTACAATCTGACAGAAATTGGCGGGAAAATCTATGCTAGCATCACATACTAGCTAAGAAAGGGTCGCTAGCATTTTATGCTTACAAATATGTGTGTTAAAATAAAAATTCATTTCCAAACTGAGTTGATGTTACAGCATGTTTGGAAATTATATACAATAAAAATATTTACATTTCAAGCAATGTTTACCTTGACTTTATTTTAAAAGTTGATGGATGAATTCAAAATTCCCACCATGTCAGACTTGTGCTGTGATGTCACTGTTCATCTCCATAGCAACTACCCAAACAATCTTTCTTACTAACTTCTTAAAGGGACATTAAAATGTTGTGGTGGGAATTACAATTGGTTTAGAAAATCACATAAACAGTTATATGACATTAAATACTCCAATTATAGTTTGATTATTTTACTGATACTTTTTTCAATGATTGTTTAAAACTTTAGAAAAAAGGTTTTTTTACTATTAATTTTTATCATTAAAGATCAAAAAGTCTTGGTGTGGGACAAGCACAAAACAGTAATATTTACGTATAAATGAGGCTGAAAAAAGGTGAAAAAATCATCACAGTTACTAAAACGAATCTCCTAAAACTGTTTCATTGTAAAGATAACTATAAAGGTGTGAAATGTCCCTTTTTTAATTTTTCCATGAAATATGATCAAAGGACATAAAAGTGCCCGTAGTTAAAGAATCACCCATATATATATCTTCCTCTATAATGTGTATACAATTTTTAACATTTTAATAAGCTTAATAAAGGAACATGCTCTTTTCCTCCAAAAAATGCACATATAATTTTTCCACCATCTCTAATTTATCGGAGCTGCTACTGTGAATGTAAAGTTATCTACAGATTTACCATATTAACCAACATTCCTGTATTTTCTGACATTTGATCTTTTAATGGTTAGCGTTAGCATTCTTAGGCTCTGAGCTCAATAGATGTTGGATCAGGTGCGCTAAATGACTTGTGAAATGTTGTAGTGTGTTCAGTAAGCGGCTGCTCTGTGGGGGGTGCTGCAGAGATTGCTGCACAAATGTGAGTTCTGCTGGCCGTCTGACGGTTGCTCTAAAAGAAAGATAAGCTTCAAAACCACTAAAAATTATCATTATTTTTAAAATGATATCAACACTCCTAAATGATATTTATGGTGCCCCTTAGATAGGAAAACTGGAACCAATTATTTCTGTAATTTCTAGAGTAAAAAAAATGACAGTACCTACATGTTTCATTTTATGAGATGTAATATATATTGCAATGCTTTACAGGTAAAAACTAATATAACAGTGACTTAAAACATGTTTAAAACAAGTAAATTATAACAAGGCAAGGCAAATGTATTTATATAGAACAATTCAGTACAAAGACAATGCAAAGTGCTTTACATGATTAAAATACAGGAAGATAAAACAGAATCAAAGCAAGTAGGAAAAAATAAAATAAAATAAAAATGCAGAAACAAAAAACAGTTGGACTAAAGAAAATATGTTTCAGTTGAACTGTTTAACTAGAACAGTGGAAGGCAATCCTAAACAAAAGTGTTTTTAGTCTTGATTTAAAGGAACTCAGGCTTTACGCACTTTTACAGTTTTCTGGAAGTTTGTTCCGTAACAGAAAAATTATTAAACATTCATCATTTATTTCAATGTGCAAACACAGTAAAATCTGCAAAAATGTGAGTTAAAAGGTCATCATTTAAGAGGTGTAACCCCCCCACTTGTAAAGGTGATGTTAATTGAGAACAAGCTTTCAAAGCAGTTTAAACATAACAGGAACAGTTTAAAGTAAATATATCAGAAGATAGAAAAAAAACTTTAACATCAGATATGATCCGACTGATGAATCGGTCTGCCTTTAGAACAGGAAGGAGAAAACGAGTTTTTTTAGTGAAGATTACATATTTATTTAATATTTACTGTATTTACATAATATTTACAGTTTATTTGCTTATAAAATCGGCTGATTTAGGCCTTTGGTAAAAAATGATGGTTCTGTTCTAAACGACTCTCCTCATCTGCTGCTTCATTTTGTCACTTTTCACCTCAAGCGTCAGAAAAAGCTTCCCTTTTTGGGATTAATGGAGAGAGGAAAAAATAAAGAGTAGGGAAGGCCAGCGAGAGTCTCATTTAAAATGCTAATGCTGCAATTTTTAATAAGTAAAATTAATAATAAGGATAATTGGAGTAATAAAGGGCAATTGCTGGGGGAAGTTAATGAGAATTAAAATGAGCCATCCTGAGGGGTCATGGCAACCTGAATCAAAGCAAAGAGAGAAGAAAGGAGGTAACAATGAAGAAGATGGTGATGATGATGATGACTGGTGAAGAGAGGCGAACAGGGGAAATTACAGCAGGTCTCGGCTGATCTTTATCGCACGTAGTAACAGGATATAGGCCAGGGTTGATGTACGACACATAATATTCTGCTTCCTCTGGCTGGATGCCACCTGCATTCATGCATCATGTGTGTCGGCCGGACGAGCCACATATCTTCTTTTGTACATGTGCATTTGTGTGACACGTTTGCCCTGTTTGCATCTCTTTTCTTTGTTTCCTTTATCTTAATTTTCTTTTTACTGCCTGGGTTTATCACTGCGACTGCTGCTGCTGCACAGCCACTAAAATGCACTTGTGTCTTGAACATATCTCTAACCTCCATCCCATCCCATCCAGCTGCCCCACCCCCGGATGCAATGGCTCCGGCCATATCAGTGGGAGATACTCACGACACAGAAGGTAGGGCAGATGAAACCCACCCTCTGTCTGTCTGTCTGTCTCTTCCTTTGTCTGTCCTGCTTCACCTGCTGTTTGCTTTTAGAGACGATCAGAGGAAACACAGATAATCAGATCAGACCATCAGTGCTACAAATATCCATGAAAAGCTGCAGGCAGATGTTTTTAATAGCTTATTAAACTCCTCTCAAAGTTAGAAAATGGAAGAAAATGTCCCTAAAGCTGCAAACTAAATCCCTCTCCAGAATTATTTGGAATCTGTTTGCGTAAACTTTCAGGTTTAAGGTTTAGAAATGAGGTAAAACTTTCAGGTTTAAGGTTTAGAAATGAGGTAAAACTTTCAGGTTTAAGGTTTAGAAATGAGGTAAAACTTTCAGGTTTAAGGTTTAGAAATGAGGTAAAACTTTCAGGTTTAAGGTTTAGAAATGAGGTAAAACTTTCAGGTTTAAGGTTTAGAAATGAGGTAAAACTTTCAGGTTTAAGGTTTAGAAATGAGGTAAAACTTTCAGGTTTAAGGTTTAGAAATGAGGTAAAACTTTCAGGTTTAAGGTTTAGAAATGAGGTAAAACTTTCAGGTTTAAGGTTTAGAAATGAGGTAAAACTTTCAGGTTTAAGGTTTAGAAATGAGGTAAAACTTTCAGGTTTAAGGTTTAGAAATGAGGTAAAACTTTCAGGTTTAAGGTTTAGAAATGAGGTAAAACTTTCAGGTTTAAGGTTTAGAAATGAGGTAAAACTTTCAGGTTTAAGGTTTAGAAATGAGGTAATTAACTGTCAGCATGATGGACGGGCCAAAGGTGTGATGGACGGTGTTTGGAGGGAAGCTACGATTGCACTGCGTTTATGGCGAACTTCAGATTTAACAGATTTAGAAAAAATAAAGGAGTTATAAAGTTTTATCTCAAACAATGATTCATGTTTTGACTTGCTTTCCTTTGATAAATGAATTAAATGTTTGCATCTTTGGATCAAAATATCTGAATTTATGAAAGAAAAGATGAAAACTTTCACCTTTAACAAAGAATAACAAAGCAAAGTGTGCTGGATGAGGAGCATCGTCTCGGACTAAAGTCACTGAACATCATTTCTCATCTGACAGAAAGTCCAGCTGAATGTAAACAACGTCCCAGAGTCACCGTGGAGTCTGAGCAGCAGGCGGCTTTAAATCAGCAGGGCGTTAAAAGTGGAACTGTCGAATATCTGTAGTTTTTATCAGTTCTCAGCAGCAGAGGCATCCACACTTTTGTAGAAGTTAGAGGATCAACTTCAGCATTTTACTCCAGTAAACCAGTATCAAATTTAACTTTGCATCATCTTGATATGAGCTAACATCACAAAAACGCCTATTAACATGCATGCTAGAGCGTGCATGAGCCCATCTCTCCTCGTGCACGCTCTGTTTAAACGTTGCTGTTCGTACTCGTACTCGTCTCGTACTCGTCGTCTCCCGCTTTACCCGGAACCGGGTCGCAGGGGCAGCAGACTAAGCAGAGACTCCCAGACTTCCCTCTCCGCAGACACCTCCTCCAGCTCTGCTGGGGGAAGCCCTAGGCGTTCCCGGGCCAGCCGAGAGACATAGTCTCTCCAGCGTGTCCTGGGTCGTCCCCTGGGCCTCCTCCCGGTGGGACGTGCCTGGAACACCTCCCGAGGGAGGCGTCCAGGGGGCATCAGAAGATGTCCGAGCCACCTCAACTGACTCCTCTCGATGTGGAGGAGAACCGGCTCTACACTGAGCCTCTCCCGAATGACCGAGCTCCTCCCCCTATCTCTAAGGGAGAGCCCAGCCACCCTGCGGGGAAAGCTCATTTCAGCCGCTTGGATCCGGGATCTCGTTCTTTCGGTCATGATCCAGATTTCATGACCATAGGTGAGGGTAGGAACGTAGACCGACCGGTAAATTGAGAGCTTTGCCTTTTCGCTCAGCTCTCTCTTCACCACGACAGACCGGTGCAGCGTCCGCATTATTGCAGCAGCCGCACCGATCCGTCTATCGATCTCCCGCTCCATTCTTCCCTCACTCGTGAACAGGACCCCAAGATACTTGAACTCCTCCATTTGAGGCAGGGACTCTCCTCCAACCTGAAGGGGACAGGCCACATTCAAGAACCATGGCCTCTGACTTGGAGGAGCTGATTCTCATCAATGTTGATGCTGAGAATCAACGTTGCTGTTCTCATAGCTAATCCAAGGTTACTGGGTCTGACCGTCCGCCCTAACCTCTAAATCCCTCCATCACTATATAGAGCAGGGACTATATAGTGAACTTTATAGTGAACTCAGTTAACTTTTTGCTCCATTGGTCACGTAATTCGGGGTGACAGTGGCGTCGGGTGCAGAAGTTTGCTCTAAAATCGAAGGATTGACGGTTCAAGGCTCCGGCTTTCCTTGGGCAAGACACTTGACCTGCATTGTCTACTGATGGTGGTCAGAGGGCCCGGTGGCGCCAGTGTACGGCAGCCCCGCTTCTGTCAGTGAGCCCCAGGGAAGCTGTGGCTACAGTGTAGCTCTCCACCCTCAGTGTGTGAGTGTTTGCGTGAATGACTGAATGTAGTGTAAAGCGCTTTGGTCAAGTCTCCTGACTTGAAAAAGCGCTATATAAGTACAGGCCATTTACCGTTTAACTCCTCCGCGCGGTGCCTGCGCCATCTTTGTTATCAGCCGCTGTCAGGTAGTGACAGCCTATGGTGACAGCAAATCCCATAATGCTTTGCGAAGAGAGCTCTCCGTGCAAAGCATTCTGGGATATATCTGCCTCCTCTGAGGCTTTTCTTTTCTTCTCATTCACTTCGTAGACACTTTTTCTCTTATGACCCTTTTTAAAGAAAGAGAAAGGTGAGCTTCATAGACTGTCTGAAACCGTAGCTCACCACAGATATATGCCTGAAAGGGCACAGAAAAAGATTGCTAACAGGATGAGCGCGTAGGACGGCCTTACGTAAACATATCACCAGAATGATTGACAGTTAGGAGGACCACTGATTGAGATGATCCACCCGGAAATAAAAAATCCTCCTCTATACCTTAAACACCTCGTTCCAGAGTACCACGCTAACTAGCTTCTTCTGTTTCCTGTTTATTACAGCTAATGAAAACACGTCTAGTTTGTATTTGCTTTTTACGACATTTTAAAGGTTCTGAGTTGGTTTTCAGTTCAGAAGGACTGAAATCCGCTAACGATACAGAACCAGGCACCTTTCAGCAGGTTTTTCTAAACATGTTTTAAATCCTTTAAATCCAGCCACCAGCTTTTAATTTGAAAGTCCAAATATTTTCAGCACCATTAAAATCTGTCCGTGTCGCTCACAGAAGGCCTGACTTTAGCGCCACTGATACACGAGCCAAACGAGAACAGACTGAGACGTGTGTCGCTGCTTACGGCTAAGAACCACTTCAGTCCCAACGTGGATTACAGATGAAAAACAAATGATCCAGAACATTTTAATTAAACATCTTCAGAGCGGATGGGCGGGCGGCGGGCTGCGTTCGCACAGGGAGAGACGGCGGTGAAACGGCAACAGGATGCAGGGATCACAGCAGGAGCATGGAGGAAACTGGCCCATAAAGCTGCCCTCTCACCCACAGGTCAGCAGGTTCTGAGCCAAAATGGCCGCTCTCATCCAGAACTGATTATTTTCCTCTTTAGAAAATTAAACCTTAATAGAAGTGATTAAATATGGTATAACATGAGGTTCTATCATTACATGAAGATACAGAGAATTAGATTTTTACCAAATGAAGAGTCTTCTGTTCTTTTCAAAGCAGAGGGAGGTGAACGCAGACAAGTTAAGCAGTGAAACTATGAATCGTCTCCCTCCGATTCACAGAAAATCCCAATAGAAACCCTGTTGGCTTTGTGATGTGATGAAACAGGTGAACTGATGACGTCTGATTGGCTTTTATGGGCTGGAAACATTGAGGACATCTCCTTACAGACCAAAACTCGGACTAACATCAAACCTTTGGAGACATTAAACCAGGACTTAATGGGGGAAAACCTTTGAGAGAATGAGTCTAAAATAGCTAAGTTGAACCATAACGTCTGCAGCTGTTCCTCAGATCTTCTGAATCTAAAGCAAACAGCAGCGATATGTGATCCTCTCCAGCTTTTTCACTCCACTTTCATTTCTCCTCCTTCATTTCCACGCATGTCGTCCTCCTCAGAGACCCCGTGTCACCTGCAGGGGTGGGAGGGTGGAGGTTCAGCCGTTTGTGACTCCTCTTTATTGAAGGGAAGATATTAGCTATCTGTTTACATGTGTATTCGTTCAGCAGGCAATTTCAGATGCACTTTGTTTATAGATCGTCCCTCGGTCTCCCTCGGCATCTTCCAGGTGCGAATCAGGGGGAGTTTATTGGATTTCACCCTCTGCTGCTTCGCCGCCAGCCCGCCTCTCCATACAAGTTGTTCATTAAACGTTCCACTCAATTGGCTGAGATTGGTTTTAAGGGTGAGGGAGCGAGCAGGGCGCCACCCTCAGGCTACATGTCACACTGCAACGGCTTCTCCATCTCCTCTCTGAACTTTCTGCTTCTCCTTCTGCTTCTCTGCTCCTGGCTCTGCATGAACGTCACCAGGATGTTAAAGATGCTCTTGATTCTTGCTCTAATGCCTCTGATTGTTTTTCCTCCCCTCGCCTTTTCATCAGCCTTTTGGCTTGCCCCATAGCCAGAAAGCGCCGTCTAGAGGAGGCTGAACAGGAGCAGGAGCAGGAAACAGGGAAGCCCTCCTCCAAGAGGAAGTCCCACCCCCTGAAACTGGCCCTGGACGAGGGCTTCAGCGCAGAGAGCGACACCAGCAGCGAGGCAGAGGACGAAGCTGCCAAGGATGGAGAGAAGGGAGACAAGGAGGGAGAGAAGGATGCAGGCAGGGAGGAGATGGCGCCCGAGCATCCAGAGCAGGACGGCAAGGGACTGATGAACGGACAGGAGGAGGAGGAGGAGATGTCAGCGGGTGATGAAGGTAAGGCTTAACAAAGAAAGAGCAACAAAAAATAATGAATGAATGAATAAATGTTTTAGCAACAATCTGCATTCATCATTATTAATCTCCTTATGAGAGAAACTTTGAAGTGTTTCTCTTCCAGAACGGTTGAGTTAGAGCAGCGTGGCTCATAAGGTGATACGCTGTGAAGGAAACTGCAGGAAATGATGCTTTTCAGTGAAACAGACGCTTCAGAACCAGAAGCTCAGAGGTTTGGAAACATTAAGGAGACCAAAAAAAGCTGAAGATAAAAAAAACCTAAAGTACAAACTAAACTTATCGTTTAAAAGCTGTTTATACTTCCTGTACGAAGAAATGTGTCCAAAGATGATTTTTATTTATTCAGAATCAAACTGAATTAAGGTGGAACTTCACATATGGTGTGAATCAGTGGTGCATTTATAACTCGACCTGCTTCTTTGGGGCCCCGGGGCCAACAGTGTACTCTGAACATGGCCGACGTTTACTTATACAGATGAGTTAGACCTCAACTCTATTCAGTTTATTCACGTCATCTCAGGTGACTTTATAGAGACAATTCAACCAGATCATCCAGTCAGATTGATTCAAAGTTTTCTATCTAAGGAAAACCAGCTGATTGCATCGACTCATTGACTCTTCAGCAATCCCTCACACTAAGCATGCTTGTAGCGTCAGTGGAGAGGAAAAACTCCCTTTGAACAGGAAGAAACCTCCAGCAGAACCAGGCTCAGTGTGAGCGGCCATCTGCTGAGGCCCACTGGGGTTCAAGGAGACAGAAGCAGACATAGAAAAAGAAGCATAGATACAAAAGGCAACTGGTCCAGGAAACACACAGCCAGGTAGACGAGCTCGATCTCAAACACAAACTAAAGACTTTAAATGATTTAGGAAACGATTTAGAGAAGCCAATTAAGCCAAAGGTGATGCTTCTGGATTGTGGGAGGAAGCTGGAGTACCAGGAGAGAGCTCACGCTGCACAGGGAGAACATGCTAACTCTATGCAGGAAGACTCCAGGAATCAAACCCAGAACCTTCTAGCTGCAAAAACGGAAGTTTTACAACCTTATTTATAAATGTTTATAAAGTTAATACCGTTTCTAAGAGGGAGAAGAAAAGCCTCAGACCATATTTAGCCCCGTATGAAAAGAGGGAGCATAATTTATAAATACGGGTTATAAAGTAAAAATGAAGGGAATAAATGACCAATTTTAGGTTTTTCCTTTTAAATGTTTTGTTAGAAATATTGACTTTTCTTAAACAGTAAAATAAACAAACTCAAAATACCGGACATTAAAAGTGGAAGTTTTGTAAATCAGAGGAGATTGTTTTTTTAATCGTTTGACTTTTCTTTGTGGTTCCATGAGTTTAAAGGTAAATATTTTTTCCCATACATTCCCTGACACTGGATCAATGTATAAAATGAGTTTAACTCCATTTTTTGCCTCTAAAGGCTCCCGTGGCACTGAGACCGATAATCTGGAGTTCCACAGATTATTAATCTGGGTCTGCTCCGGTCTCATGGGTTTAGGAAGAGAGTGATGTTTAGCAGAACCTTCTGAGCTGATTGGCTGAAGCGAGCAGAGTTTGGTGGTCATGGTAACCAAAGATATAGCAGCAGACGCCATGACGAACCACAGCATATAATCTCTGCGCCTACTTCCCGCTGCGCCGCCATGTTTGGTTTGGTTCAACTGTGGAAAATAGACTTTCGACAGATTTCAGTAGGATAAATATTATATTTGGTCATTTTCAGATTTTTTATAAGCAGATTTTCTTCTGGATGTAAATGTTTATAATGTTATAACTTTTAATGAATATTAAAAGATGCTCTGAAGGTGCTGATTGACAGCACTTCAGAAAGTTTGGTTGTTTTATATTTACACATGCAGGGTGGATGAAGCAAGTAAAGAGAAACAGGAAGATGAAATGTTTCGCACTCTTGCATACAACTGGATCTATGAGCTGCTTAAACTGATGCATCTTTGTCACAGCAGGTCGTTTTTTCTGCACCGTCACTTCACAGGCTGAGAGTTGATGCCGACAGCTTGAGCTCCCTGCGTGACTCCGGCTTCGCTCTGAGCCTCTGCTCTAACCTCTTCTTCTCTGCTTTCACAGAGCAGGAGTGCCTGATCGTTGAGCCGGAGCTACGAGGCGCGCCACCTGCAGCCGAGGTGAGCCCTCCGCCTTCACAGAGCGCCGAAGAGGTGGCCGACTCTCTGCTCCACCTGGGCCAGGTCTCTAACAGCCACACTCATGGCGTGGCTTCGCAGCAGATTGAAGATGTCAGCGCAGCAGCTGAGGGGGGAGAAGAAGAAAAGGATGAACAGGAGGAGGCCATGCATGAGGGCGAGGAGGAAGAGGAGGAGGCACAAAGAACTCTGGAGGAGTCATCTGCTCTGCAGAATGACGGGAGGACGGTGGAGGAAGAGGAGGGCGAGCATGTTAACATGAGCAACCATGTGAGCCACAGCCAGCAGATCAAAGGGGAAGAGGAGGAGGAGGAGGAGGAGATGGTGGTATCAGTGCAGCAGACGCAGGAAACTCCAGCAGAAGATGAGGGGGATGATGAGAAAGATGAAGAGGAGCACAGCTCTTTCCTCTCCATATCTGATGTGCCAACTGGCGTCCAGACCATCACCAGCACAGCAGCAGCTCAGGGAACACACATCAAGACGGAAAACCATAGACTTCTGGAGGACTACGGCAGCAACAGATACGACTCACTTCCAGACTTCAAAAGCAGCCCTCCTTTAAGCTCCCACACCGCCAGCCCGCTCCACGACTACTTCTCCATTCCCAGGGGGGACAACTTTAAGATCCACAAAGCCCCAGCCTCCCCCGACGTCATCGAAGTGCGGTCCGACAAGTCAGAGGAGAAGGACTTTGACGACTTGGACGGAGATGACGAGCGAGATGATGATGACAGCCTGTCGCAGCGCTCAACGGTGACCGACGAGTCGGAGATGTTCGACATGACCAGAGGGAACCTGGGCCTCCTGGAGCAGGCCATCGCCCTGAAGGCCGAGCAGGTGAAGCCAGCCGGGCCCAGGGAGCTGCTCCGCGCTCCGGACCTCCATCACCAGAGGTACTTCACCATCGAGGACAGACCCAAGCACCTGGACATCATCCGCAAGACGTACTTCAGCAAAGGTTGGCCCCTCCTTCTTCTAGTTAAGATGTGTAGATAATCACGATTACAGAGCTTCACTAATAGATGCTTCCGACACAGATTCAGAAGCTTCATTCGATGATTTATCATATTTTTTCTCCAGATTTTTTATTAGAGTGGTTCAGAAAACATTAAAACTATGCAGGACTGGATGAAGGCGGAGCTAACAGAACGCTAAAGGCGGAGTTAAAGACGACAGGAAAGGCGGCTCTAAAAGCAACGCTAAAAGTGACGTTAAGGCATCATTAAAGGCGGCACTAAAGAAGCTGCTAAAGGTGGCGCTAAAGGCATCATTAAAGGTGGCACTTAAGAAGGTGCTATAGGTGGTGCTAAAGAAGCTGCTAAAGACAAGCTAAAGGCAGAACTATAGGCAGCATTAAAGGCAGCACTGAAGAAGCCACTAAAGGCTGCGCTAAAGGCTATGCTAAAGAAGCCGCTAAAGTTGGCACTAAAGAAGCTGCCAAAGGTCATGCTAAAGGCGGCGCTAAAGAAGCCGCTAAAGGCCAGCTAAAGGTGGCGCCAAAGAAGCTGCTAAAGGTGATGCTAAAGGTGACGCTAAAGGCGGCGCTAAAGAAGCCGCTAAAGGTGATGCTAAATGTGACGCTAAAGGCGTCGCTAAAGAAGCTGCTAAAGGCGGCAGTAAAAGCGGAACTAAAGGCCGCATTAAAGGTGATGCTAAATGCGACACTAAAGGTGGAGCTAAATTAGCTGCTAATGGCGGCGCTAAAGAAGCTGCTAAAGGCGGCAGTAAAAGCGGAACTAAAGGCCGCATTAAAGGTGATGCTAAATGCGACACTAAAGGTGGAGCTAAATTAGCTGCTAATGGCGGCGCTAAAGAAGCTGCTAAAGGCGGCAGTAAAAGCGGAACTAAAGGCCGCATTAAAGGTGATGCTAAATGCGATGCTAAAGGTGGAGCTAAAGCCGGTGCTAAACATTTATTCAGCGTAGCACTCAAGCTAGAACGATTGGTCTGTAAATTGCTATTTTAAAAATTGTAAATATAAGCAACACGAGAGGAAATGTATGGTTGAAGCTCTTCAAGACTGCTCTGTTTTCTTGCTTTTGTCCCTTAATTTATGTATAAAAAACATTTAACAGTAAGTCATGAAATGTTTATACATTAATTGTTAGCCCTCTAAAAGCAGAACCAAAATGGTAAAGCTCTTTCCTATTATTAAAAACCCTGAAACATGATTAATAAAAGCATATAAATAAATTAATATATAAATCTGTTATTACCTTTAAACATTCTTCTCCATTCTGCAGTAAAAATAAAAACGGAAGAATGTGGTTTGTTCTAGGAAAATATGAAGTCAGCACATTTTAACGTAGTTTTTAACGAAAACGTTTCCGTCTTTTCTTCTTCTTTTGTGAAAAATCTGCTCTAAAGCCACAGATTTACCGCCATCTAGTGGTGAACTTTATAAGTTAAAAACAGCAGAGAGACACCCTCTGTCCTTCCGCCAAAATAACTTTACTGAATTAATTAAGCCCGTCCAGCAGAAATCCTCCAGCCTCAGTTTTCTGTTTTCTGCCTTTAATAACTTGTATTTTTATTCTCTGAGTATCAATGCTCCTCCATTTGAGCAGAATTCAGCTACTAGAGCAATCTACGGTCCACTTTGCTTGTTTCATCTCAGCCGACAACACGTCTCCATGTGCAGCTAAAACATGCAACTAATAAGTTTGATCCCATTTTTGATGATTGTTTTTGACTTTAGCTGAGTATGTACTTCTGAAAGACTTGATTTTAATAACAAAAAGCAAAATGTGTTAAACACTGTCCCTTCACAAAATTTTTTTTTTTATCTAAATAAATCCTTTTTTCTTAAAATAAGTGCATTTTTCCTTGAATATAGGAGGTAAGTGAAACACTTTGCCAGCAGAACAAGAATTTACATTTAAAATAAAAAAAAACTGTTGCATTGTCTTATTTAAAGTGCTCACTTTCTATTTATTTTATTTTAAGAGAAAAATTACTCCATATTTAATTTGCAGATGATCTTATTTACCTGCAAATTAAGGGAAAATACAATTTTTTATTTCTAGATTTTTTTTGTAGTGTTTAATGTCACATTTAGAAGAGCCATTGATCTCATCTTAAACAGAATATTGAATTATATCCTTCTACATCATGATATTCATGCTGAAAGCAAAGAGTTGCATGATGTGTGTAAAAAACCTTTAGAGTAAATCATAAATATATTCTGGTTGAAGCTTGTCTGTGGAGGTAAAGTGTACGGATAACCAGAGTGAAGCAGATACCGCCATCAGGCCGTCAGCGCTTCCTGGATCGTCCCGCCTCCTGCATAGCGTGGCTGAAGAGGCTCCAGCAACAGAAAACACCAACGTGTGGAGAGGAGGTGCTGGAAGAGGCCGAGGAGTCAAGAGGAGAAGGAGGAGTGCGGGTTTTTCCCCCGTTAGCATGTGCAGAGTGTTTGTTTACACGCTCAGGCCTCGTTATTCACTGCTGGCACGCTGCCCGCTTGTCATGCTCGTGGAGAAGCAGCAGTGTGATTACATGCCTGGTAGTGCTGCCCTCTCCTTGGCCCAAGCTCCCCCCTGTGGTGGCGTTCATGTTCTCCTCGTCGCTAATTAGTAGATGCATGTCTCGTTAACATTCAATTTGAAGGCCAGCAGAGCATCCCGCCATCCTCTTGCTCCTCTTTCCTCTCTCTGGTGGCACAGATACAGTCTGGCTTACATCCAGAGTCCGATGGGAGATCCATGCAGATCTGTTAACATATTTATTAATCAAGCAAACAATAGAAAATAGAAAACATCAGCTCAGAAAAAGGTTTCAGTTAAAAACAGTTTGTAAATAATAGTTGTAAACCTTGCATATCATTGCACTTCCATGTGGAATATGACGGCCTTGGATCGGCCCACCGGGCGCTGCCCAGAACGCCCGGCGTTCTGTCCACCCCTGGTTGGAGCCTAACAGTGAAGATTCAGGATATTCTAATTATTCCCTGCATTGTTCATACCAGCATAAAAGGATGAGAACGTGAACATGTAGAGATGCAAGTTTTATTTCAAAGGCAAGACATTTGTACGCAGTCTGTGTGACTGCCTGTAATCTCTGATTCCTTTATTTTCCTTATCTTTGAGGCCTTTACAGATTTAAAGGTGTATTTCTGAGGGTTTGGTTGGAGGCAAGGAGAACTTTAGGTCTGCAGAGCTGAAGAACAAAACTACAAATATCACTAAATTACCTTAAAGATTTAGATTCATATGGTTTTTTGTTTTTATAAAGGTAGTTCTGACCAGGGCGGGATTTACACTGAAAAATAAATGCAACCGCTTATGGCATTTACTTTATCATATTTATTTACTTTAACTAGGGTTGTCACGATACTAAACTTTTCAACTCGATACCGATACTAAGGAAAATATTCGATACTCGATACCATTTTCGATACCACAAGGATAAAAACAAAGACTCCAAAATTCAACAGAAATATTTTCATTTATAAATAAAATACAATAAATAAACACAATAAAGGTTGTATGCTGTGCATAATATTAAGCAAGCTTAATAAAAAACTTATAAAATTCAAATTAAGTGTTCCTTCCTTGGCTATGCTTTGCACACATAAAAATGACACTAGCCAAACCGGTTAAGAAACAAAAATAATTCTCAGCAGCTGCACCTCTTACAAAAAAAAAGTCTGAAACTGAAAAGAGCGTAGAATTATTCAATCACACAGTGTTCTGAAAGTGCATTGTCCTCTATTCTGCACTTTAGATGAATGACTGCTTAGGTGCCACTGGTGACGGCACTGTATCAATACTTTTAAAAATGAGTATTGTATCCGAATACAACATTTCAGTATCGATACTTTTTTGAGTTTCGATACTTTTGACAACCCTAACTTTAACACAATTGTATTATGTCCTACCCTGCTAACATGAAACAATTGTGTTAAAGTAACTAAATATGATTAAGTGAATTGCAAAAACATTTGCATTATTTGTTTCAGTCCATTAGGCAATAATAGGCAGTTGCCGATGGCCCATAAAACTGCCAGTGTCCACCATATTGGATCAGTCCATTTGCTGCACATGTTCAGAAAGGTCCAAACAGACAGCAGCAAACCATTTGAAAACAAACCATGCAAAGAACAGTGTTGCCAACTTAGCGCTTTAGTCGCTATATTTAGCCACTTTTCAGACCCCTCTAGCACTTTGATTTCTAAAAAGCTCCTAGCGCCAAATCTAGAGACTTTTTTCTGCTACTGGAGACTTTGGAGACAACATCTAAAAGCAGCGAACTCTGCTCTCCAGAGCGAGTAGATTGGTAACCCCGCCTCCTGCTCTCCTCTATCTTGTCTGCTGTCATGATTCATGCAGCTATTATTTCATCCAAATGAAAAATGGAGAACAGATAAGCAGATCATGGCTTGTCTACAGTGAAAAGAAGGACTGGGTTATTTACTTTGGCCTTTTTGGAAACACAGGAAGGAGAAATCAGCTAAGTGAGCTTAGTGCTTGGAAAAAATCTTTCATTCCTTTAGAGACAGCATGAAAAGTCAGCTGAGTACAAAACATAGAGAGGAAAACAAGAAGAAAAGGGACAAGAAGAGAGGGACACAACCTAGAACAGATAATGGATGTCTATTCTATTAACATTTCTATATCTGGAGAATGGGGCTGTTTGATGTGTTGTCTTCTCCATTCAGAGGGGCCCCTGCCTGTCTTTGCCTAGGGCCCCACATTTCCTAAAACTGCCCCTGGTTCCTAAATATCTGCCTTTTTAGGATAAATAATTTACTAGGGTTGAATATGATGTTTGCACAAACATTTAGAGTTTGAAAGAAAAATATTTGGAGAAGGAAGAAATTAGCTTGACTCTACTGTCTGTCAGATACTGACGAGTTTTTCCACCCAAACAGAAGTTTGAAGTTGTTGTCCTTCATTAAGTCCTAATTAGAGGTCTCAGTAGACATCTTAATGTCTTGTTTTTCTCCTCATGTCAGTGCTGCGAGACGACGCGCATCATGCAACCTTTCAGGATAATGCACAATCATTTAGAAATACATTTTTTTTCTTCAGAATTTCATTTAGGATAATCCAGAAAACATCTTGCATGTTTACTCAGATGCACAACGCAGGAAGGGATAGAGGTGGTGTTACTGCCGGGAACATGTCTAGATTTCATGCTCAGCCAAGCAAACGGTCTGATGGCATTAACCACTCGCTGTTGTCCTCTTCTCTCATCCCACTCTCCTTCTTGCCCCTGTCATTGCTCTTTTCCTTGCATCCTTTTCCAGAGAGGCCAGAGAAGAGGGAGAACAAGTGTCCCACGCCGGGGTGTGATGGAACCGGTCATGTGACTGGTCTTTACCCCCACCATCGCAGCCTGTCAGGCTGTCCGCACAAGGACAGGATCCCCCCAGAGAGTGAGTTTGGCTTTGTCTTTCATCTGAATACAGTTTCCTGAGAGGGAATTTCACAGAGAAAGAATCATACCAGCCTATTTGTGGTCCAAGAAGACATTTCTGGGCGTCACTTTTTGAGACTGTAACTGCTTTTTACTTGAATTTGACTCCATACATGCAGCATTAATAGTTTGGATGGATGGCAGATGTGTGGGAAGATGCTTAACAGCTGGTTTTTGGAAAATAAAATGCAGTTTACATGTATCAGTCTGATGTGAGACTCGTACGTTGGGTTCGTTACCAGCTCTACGTTTATGAAGTTGTTTAGATTGTGTCGTGATTTTCCTGAATCTGTGATTCTTCTGCTCAGTTCTGGCCATGCATGAAAATGTGCTGAAGTGTCCAACTCCTGGCTGCACTGGTCAGGGCCACGTAAACAGCAACCGCAACACACACCGCAGGTATCCCGTCTGTGCAGTCGTTAATCTGTGTCCTTTATAAGCATTTCTGCAGGACAGGCTTTTGCAGTTTATCATTTCCCTTTGTGTCTGCATGTGCATGCATGCATGCAGGACAGCAAATGTGTCAGCCAGCATCAGTGTGATGTGGATGCATGTCAGCAGCTTGGTGATGTTTTTGAAATTCATCGACATTCCTGTCCCTCCGTCCTCACAGTCTCTCTGGATGCCCCATCGCTGCTGCTGAGAAGCTTTCAAAGACCCATGATAAGCAGCATTTCTCTCAGCTGGGCGGCGAGCATCTCAAAGGAAGCCCCAATGACAGAGTGCTGAGGTGGGTCATCAACAGCCACTCTGTTCAGATCCAGAACTGAGTCTGTTTAACACGGTTTTAAAGCCAAACCTTGCTGCAGTAGCCACTGGCTACCCACAGAGGGCGACACTTAAACAGTTTTACCGATATATCAATAATAACTCCATTTAGGCCCAACTAGTATGGTGGATTGATTACTTTATAAGTTTGCCAACCTTAAATTTGTATAAAAATCACATTTAGTTTTATATTAAGAGACTAACATTTTATTCCTCTAAAACTCGTATGTAAATTTAATGTTAAGTTTACTTAAAAATGAAACTTAAGACCTCGTAGACAGTAAGTGGCTTGCGCTCCCCATTTCTCCTTCTGTAATGTTTGCCAGCAAGCTACCAGGTCTGCTAATGCTAATGCTAACCAAATCGAGCATTTCATTTACCAGCTCAGAAGAACAGCGGCCATTTGCTTCCTTGAAGCCAGGTGTAGCGGCTAAAATCCCATATTTTAAGCTACTGGTGGTTTCTGTTGGAAGGCATAGTTTTACGTGCGCTCAAGTAAGATTTAGAATGCCGATCTTCCGTTTGACATGAAACAAAGTCATTTATTTTCAGCACAAGTCCATTATCTTACTGTTTTCCTTCAAGATCCACATAAATTGAACATAAATCCAACCAAGCACAGTAGAAAACTGTTTGCCTCAGCCTATTAACCACACCTGAACAGAATTGTTTGTTGACCTTAAATAACCCATCCCCTCATCAAACACTCAGAACTCAAAATTAAATACGCCCCCTGGTGGCGACAAACACCAAAGGATAATTGGCTCCTACACCAGGCGTATATGGAAGTAAATCTGTGTCGCTGGGATTTGAATTAAAAATGCCTGAAATTTAAATGTTGTATGTTTGTACTTCCTGTTTCAGTGTTAAAATATATTCAGAACACATTTTTGACCTAAAAAAATTGTCATTATTTCTACACAGTTGAAATTTCATTTGTTATTTTCTCTTCAAGCTAAAAATTCACATTACTATTTTACAGTGATTACATTTTCAATACTTATTTTTCAGTTTAATTTTTCAGTGTTAAAAAAATCTGCATATAAAAAAAATTCAACCTCAATATTTTCAGCCTCCTGAGATTCAACTGGCTGACGGTGAAATAGCCGTCTTAAATTCGGCGTCTAAATTCAGTGTAAAAAGGGAAGGGTTACTTCAGGTCACAGACATTAGCAATGGATTGTGGCGTCCAACACCCAGCCAATCCCGTTACGGTTTATTAGTCACGTGACGTGACGCTTGTGGCGCTCATACTGAAGGAAAACCAGCATCATAGAGCCGGTCATGCAAGCTAACGCTAACTCAGCTACAGAAAAATGAAAGTAATAAACTCACCGTTGAGTTAGGCGTACACTGTACGATTTTTTCAATTGTTGCACGCAGCTACGGCTCACACTGTACGATGAAACCGTAGCGATAAAAAGTTCACAGCTCACCATGTTTGTTCTCACGCTGTGCGACCCGACGCCCTAACGCCAAACCAGTAGAAGAACATGAAGCTCACTAGAGTGAAACGCGCTGCCTTGGCTATTTCTGCAATTCTGCGCAGAAAGCCCTAAAAAGAAAAGGCGACGACGTATTTGGACAAAGACATGGCTGAGCTAACATGGCTACTACGGTCTGTCAGTTTGACAGAAAGAACTCCATTTCACTCATTGCCCCCCCGCCATGCTGCTGGGTTTACATCTGAGAGGAAGAAGAAGAAGAGTACGACGGCCGACTGAATTTCAAACATGTTTGATTTTCTCCCGACCTTCAGATTCCTGATGGGAGGGTGGTCGTTAGAGGCCGATCGGCCCTCGTTACCTTCTGTATATTTCACAATGCGCAATCAGGCTGAAAGTCGGCCCGATTGAAAAATTCTCCCACGACTGGAAAATCACCCCGAAAAGGGTAAAAAAAAATCGCACAGTGTAGGAATGTTCTGTCAGATGAGCATACCCCATCAGACCAGCATAGCTATAGTCAATACCCATGCGCAAGACGTCAGAGTTGCCTTTATCCTTTTAGTTTGGTACGAAAAATAGACTTTAAACTACCTCAATGGGCGTGCATCCCTTTTGTCAAAAAACCAATTCAAGGTCAGATCACCATACGCTTCAAAAAACACCAAAAAGTAAGTAATCAAATAGTTTTTTTTGCACATGCCTAAAGGGAAACACGCCCAGTGAGGTAGTATAAAGTGTATTTTCCTTCCAAAACTAAAGGGATAAATGGGTATGGACTCTAGGTATGCTGGTCTGACCGGCTCCAACACCCAGAAACATGACAGATCATTTTAACTTCACTTAAAGCTTTCAAGAAATCAATGTTTGTATGGTTTATTTTTACTATTTAGCTACAGCACTAACTAGGATGATAAGTCATCATTATTTTCAGATATTTGTCATTAGCTAGTAGCCTATAGCCTAGTTAAAGGCTAAGGCCAGACTGGATCCAGTTTGTCTCGGAGGTCTTTGCCAGGTTTGCTGCTGCTCTGCAGACCTTAATCAATTCTGTCACATTAAATCTTAAGGTCTCCATATCTTCAGTCATCTCTCCAAACCAGCTTGGCAGCGTGATCACAGCAGAAAGAATGATAATTAGCACAAAGCAGACGCCAGCATAATGCTGTGTCCATGCTCTCCCTCGCTGGTATTTTAATTAATAATGCAGCTGATATGCTAATAATGAAAGTTATAGGGGCCTTGCAGAAGGATGGGGAAAATAATTGCCTTCCTAGAGGAAAACATCACCAGACGGACAAAGAATTGGATTAAAACGTAATAAGCTTTGTTTTCTTTCTTCAGATTGTTATGTAAATGAGCTTTCCGTCCATCATATTTATGTCAGATCCCTGCCGTAGTTCTCATTCTAACGGTATTCGTGTTGATTTGATGCAAAGACAAAAGAAAATCCTCGTTGATGGCTGCTAGGAAGTTAGTTCCTCCTTCGCCCTGCAGGCCAGGTCATGGAGCTGATTAATGTCCATACGGTTAGAAGGGGGAAAAAAAGAGGAGCGTTTTTTTTCTTCCCTCCTCTTCCTCCTCCTCTTCCTCCTCTCCCCGGTCTATCAGTGGATTTACGCCAACAGGTTTGACAATAGCCTGGGCTCTCCAGGAAAATGAGAGGGCTTAACGCTCATAAATTCCATGCTGTACAACATGCAAATGTGCCCTCTGCTGATAAGAGAGCTTTTAATCCTGCTGCACTCCTGCTAAGTACACTGCAGCTCCTATCTTTACTCATTCTCTTTCATTCTACCTATTTTCACTCATTCTTCATCTGTTTTATTCAGTTTTTCTCTCCTCTTCTCATTCTTTTTTATTTCTTTCTCCATTTAATCAGCTGATGTTCCGTCTCTCCCTTTGGCTCTGCAGGCCAATGTGCTTTGTGAAGCAGCTGGAGGTGCCCCAGTATGGCAACTACAGGCCCAACATGGCCCCCTCTACACCGCGCGCCAACCTGGCCAAGGAGCTGGAGAAGTACTCCAAGGTCTCCTTCGATTATGCAAGCTTTGATGCCCAAGTGTTTGGGAAGCGCACGCTTGCTCCAAAGATGACCACCAGCGAAACGTCACCAAAAGCCTTCAAAAGTAAGACAGCGCAAACAGTCTTTGTGTCCTTTGTTTTTTTGCAATTTAAATAATTCATGCAACGCAAAAACTCCTAATATTTATTTTATTTCTAAATGAAGGGGAGTTTGTTAGTCGGCCTTGTTTGTCAAATTCTTCACAGAGCGCTGAAACAGACACTGAAACCAAAATATTATCAGTAAAATCAATCTTTTTATTATTTCATTAATCATAAAACAATATGAAGGAAATAAATGGAGAATATTTTTTATTCATATTAGTATGTTTTGCATAACTGAGAGATGCAACGAGTTTTATCACCAACCAATATTCTGGATAAATCTTTTTTTCTTTAAATTGTCTCCTTTTTTTGTCTCATTTTGTCCTTTTAAATCAACATATAATTATCAATTAAACATACAGTCCTCATCGTCTTTATCTGACCCATCTAAGGAGAGAAAATAGAAGATGTTTGGACAAAGGTCAGAGGTTAATGAGCAAAGTTTTGACCGCAAAGGGTCAGAATTTGGTGCAAAGATGAAAACATGGATCAATTCTGCCTGGATTTCAGAGGCTTAGGCTGCTAGTGGCGTCAAACAGTTCAGGGGATATCTGAGTTCACAGACTGCAGATCGGATTCTGAAGCCCCGCCCCTGTGTGAGCTCATCAAGCACAGGTAGCCGTCTGTCAAAGGGCAGCCAGATGCATTCAATTCTATTCAGTTTATTTCTATAGCTCTAATTCACATCATGTCATCTCAGGTCACTTTCCAGTTCACCAGATCATCCAGTCAGATTGATTCAAAGTTTTCTATCTAAGGAAAACCAGCTGATTGCATCGACTCATTGACTCTTCAGCAATCCCTCACACTAAGCATGCTTGTAGCGACAGTGGAGAGGAAAAACTCCCTTTGAACAGGAAGAAACCTCCAGCAGAACCAGGCTCAGTGTGAGCGGCCATCTGCTGAAGCCCACTGGGGTTCAAGGAGACAGAAGCAGAGATAGAAAAAGAAGCATAGATACAAAAGGCAACTGTCAACCAGCTCCACAGGCGGCCCCGTCCAGGAAACACACAGCCAGGCAGACGAGCTCCGAGCCAGCTCCCATGTCAGAGGATGAAGAGAGCACATCCAGTTAGTCACAGTCAGAGAAACAGGACTACACTGGAAAACAGGCCAAGCTCCAACATCTAGAAACAAAGGTGTTGATGACAGCAGCACAGCTGATATTTCTCTCCAGGATGGAGTCACAGCCAAACAGGAACAGACCAGATGAAGCTACTATGAGAAAAAGCAGAGAGAGCAGAACGTTAGAGATTGAACTAACAGATTCTGCAGAGTGGGAGAATAGAGATAGAATGAAGCAGAATGATGAAAAAGGGGTCCCTATGTCCTCCAGCAGTCTAAGCCTATAGCAGCAGAACTATAGAGATAGCTCTATGATGCTTCTAAATGGAAATAATAAAGCTGCAGTCATATTACTTTATTAATTATTCAGGGATCTGTTTTATTTTCTTGCTCTAACGGTGGATTCTGGAAACATTTCTAGAGTTTTCTTTCTTTGGTGAATTAAAAATAAAGTTTGTTTCTTCCCTCACTGTCAGATCTACCTGTCTGTCTTCCTGCAGCCAAGCCCTCCTTCCCCGAGTCGTCCTCTCCCACCCTGAGCCTCCACGCCTACGGGAAGAGCTCCTCCCTCCCCTACGACTACTCCCATGACGCCGAAGCCGCTCACATGGCTGCCACCGCCATCCTTAACCTGTCCACCCGCTGCTGGGAGAAACCTGAGAATCTCAGCATCAAGCCTCAAAGCAAGGTACTCTCGTCAGCAGCCGATCCTGGATGGGTTCTGTCTCATGTTTTAGAGGCGTAATGAAGCAGATGCTCCTCCTCAGCCCTCTCAGCTTATTTAAACATTTGAAGAGACGCCCTGGTGGTGTTTGCAGTGGGATCATTAGCAGAGCCTCGTTCAGATAAAAGATTTCAGGCCACGGATGCTGAGACTGGAAGGGTTAGCAGTGGGTGTGCATTCCCCACTCCTTCCACATCGTCTCTGCATGAATGCATCATCAGGAGGCTTTGGCTTCCAGCAACACAGCGGCGTTGAGATTCGGTTGCATCACCTCCGTTATCCTCCTTCATCGTTTCATCCCTCCATCACACACTTTTCATGTTGTTATTAAATTTGGCTGACTGACACTTCACTTCCACCAGGTAGCCCCTCCCCCTTCTTTAATTTTTTCTTAGCATCTCGACCATTTTCTCCCTAAATAAGGTGTTTTTTCCTCTCACTCATTTCCCTCCAGTTGCACAGGAGACCTTCCTTCCCCCCATATCGTGCTTTCTGAAGGCCTTTTTTGTTTTGCTGAGGAGAGAAAGTCGCTGCTTTATTTTATTTCTATTTCCTAACATCGTTTTCAGATAATAAAGAGAAAATCTGTGTTGATGGCAGCTAAGCAAACCGAGGTGTTATTCAGCAAGGCGCTGATCCAAGCGCAGGCCGAGCTGCACCAATCAGCTGGGAACTGATCTGGAATCAGAGTCGGAGTCAGTTAAAATCCGATTCTGGAAGAGCGGAACGCCGTGCTCATCCACCTGGGACCCGTCTGGGAATGGTTCCAGTGCTCTTTGCCTCGCTCACGGTGCTTTGATATTTTTAGATCTTGACCAGGCTGTGAGAGCGTTCCTCCTCCGTTCACCCCTGGCTCTCTGTTCGCCTGCCAGCCCCAAAATGAAGCGAGGAGTTTCCAGCTCTCTGTCGGCGCCACTGGCACCGAAACACAGCATCTCCGACATGAGAGCAGCCGATCTGACGCAGCTGAACCCGTCCGACAAAAAGCTGAACGCTGCTGTAGGAATAAATACCAGAAAATGAACTGAGACAGAAGAGATTCACTGAGCCTTCAGCTTTTTACTTCGTTTTCAGCCAATTAGAAAGAAAAGCGCTTCGTTCAGAAGAGAAACAGAGAAATGTTTTTGTTTCAGCAGGTCTTCAGTTTAACGTAGTGAAAAGGGTGGGGTTATTTTAAAGCGGGGTCACATGTGGCTCTTTGGGGCCCTCCCTGTGCCCCCTTTGAATCATTCAGCTCTTCTGTTTGTTTCCAGGTAGAATATTGATATCAGGGCAGCAGCAGCACAACGCTTTAAAAAACATTTTTATATTTCATATTACAGCGACTCCCTCAGCCGCCATGATAGTAAAATAAATGCCTTTAATTTTTTTTTTTTAGTTTTAGTAAAGCATTCTTCCCTTTAGAGAAAATCCTCTGATTTTCTTTTAAGAACTCAAATGAATTTAGAATGATATAAAATTCCTTCCTAGTTTCTGGATAAATGTAAAATCCTCCTGGCTTTCAAACAGGAAGAAACCTCCAGCAGAACCAGGCTCAGTGTGAGCGGCCATCTGCTGAGGCCCACTGGGGTTCAAGGAGACAGAAGCAGACATAGAAAAAGAAGCATAGATACAAAAGGCAACCAGCTCCACAGGCGGCCCCGTCCAGGAATCACACAGCCAGGCAGACGAGCTCCGAGCCAGCTCCCATGTCAGAGGATGAAGAGAGCACATCCAGTTAGTCACAGTCAGAGAAACAGGACTACACTGGAAAACAGGCCAAGCTCCAACATCTTTTTTTCAAACAGAAATTTCTGTAAATAACATAAAAGACCTGCAGCACGTCTCATTTAATATTTGACAAGACAGATAATAACTCTTTTACATATTTCTTGCTCAAATTAAAATGCCTCATATCAATAAACCAATCTTCGATGGCAGCGCTATAGGGAAGCGCCTCATGGTGGGGCCCTTGGCAGCCATAGGAATGTGCCAAAGGCGGCGTTCTGCGGCACGCATGGCCGCGGTAAATTGTTCCCCGATGAACGGATTGTACTGAAACTGAAATCTCGATTACAAAGTAAATTGTGGTTGAAATTAATTGATTGAACTCTTTTACATTTTTTCTTATTTGCTCATATTAAAATGCAACATATCTTTCTTTTTTCTCTCTTTTTTATGAAAGGAAACAAATGTGCACTGCCTAAGAAGGGTGAGATGTTTTAATGAGTCAGTTTACTAAAACTTTAACTTAACTTCCTGTTTTTTGACACAATTTGACGCTTAGAAAGGAATCCATCAATCTGATTGGCAGCCAGAATCATTGGTTTCATCTTTAATGATAACAGATGCTTCAGCTACAGATTAGAGATCCCAGCGTAAACAGAAGGTTTGAGGTTCTGCCACCATGATGGGCCGTTATAGACCTAAAACATCCAGAGGTGGTTTGTTTGGGGGTTAAGCAGAACTGTTATGTTTCCACACAGGAAATGGACATCGAGGTGGATGAGAACGGCACGTTGGACCTGAGCATGAAGAAGCCCATCAAACGGGAGGGCAGCGTGTCTGGCACCAGCCCCGGGGTGCGCTCCCCAGACCCATCTTCATCCTCCTCCTCCTCCTCCTTCCACCACGGGGGAAACAGTGGAATGACGTCCCCAAACCTTCAAACGTACAAACAGGAAGAGTGGGAGGGGCCGCTGGATTTCACCAAACCCAACCGCCAGAGGGAGGAGGAAGCAGACGAGGTCAGTGCAATCAGACAGGAGCCTTTCCTGCTGCTGTCACTGAGGAGCTGCTGCAGCATAAATACCCACACACTAAAAAACCCTTAAGCCTTTTCAATGAAAACTTCTTGTTTACATCACTTTCTTTGTCTAATCGCCTTTTCTTGCTTCCTCTTTCTATTATTCCTTTCTTTGAGTGAAATGCAAGAGTTACCAGCAGCTGAAACATAGCAGAGGTGGTGTGGTCAGGTGCATTGCACCATCCAGGATTTGGCATATGCTAATTTTCACTGCTTTTAACTTTTTCAAAAGAAATATAAAGGCCTTGGATGTTAATTTTTTATGAGGACACTTTGCATTTGGAAACATCAAGTCTACAGAAGAATAAGGGAGGGGGGGGGGGAGTATGTGAAGTTTTGTTTTTCTTTTTTCCAGCTATGCAGTGATTTCTGTTCTGCAAACAAACCTAAGCAGTGCGTCTGTTTTCAGATGGAGCACACGGGCCACTCATACGTCTCCTCTGACCAGGAGGACTGCGACGGGCTGCAGGACTGTCTGGAGGACAGGAAGTACCCGGGAAAGAGTTCCCCAATTTTCCGGGTTTTTAAAAAGGCAATTTTCCGGGGCCCAAAGGTAAAAAACCCAAGGGGGGGGGGAAGGGGGGGGAGTTTTTCTCTCGGTAAGGGGGTTTTTGCCTTGGGGGAAGGTTTTTTTAAAACAAAGGGGGTTAATTGGAGGCTTTTTCCCCGGGAAACGTTTTGTTTACGGGGTTTTTGGTTTTAAATTCCGGTTTGGGTTTTTTCCCTTGCCCAATTTTTTTAGTGATTTTTTTAACCTTAAAAAAACCCAAAATCCTGTTTTTGAGGGGAAAACTTTCCCTTGACTTAAATTTTTATTTATTAAACAAACTAACTTTCCCCTTTAAAAAAAATTCAAAAATAAAACCAAGAAAAAATTTGTTTTTGTTTCCCCCAAATTTTTCTTTCCCCATGGAGGGGGGAAAACGGGACCTTCCAAGGTTTCTTTAGGATCTTTTTTGGAGATCCGGGACATTTTTAAACTTTTTTTCTTTAAAATTCAGGGGCTTTTTTTTTCCAACCAAAAATAAAAAAAGGGGCCCAAAAAATTTTAAAAAATCTTCTTTTGCATAAACAAAACAAAAAGGGGGAAAGGGGTTTGGGTTTGAAAATTTGGTTTCTCCTTGCCTTAATGGAAACAGTTTTCCCTTTTTAAAGCAGCATCAAAAAATAGGGCTGCCTTTTTTTTCCAAGAACTTTTATTTAACCTCTTTTTTTCCTTTTTAAATTTTCCTTATTAAAAGGCTTTCAAAAAATAATTAATGAACTTCTAGTTAAATTGGTTTTGGGGGTTTCGGGCATTTTGAACATTTAAATTTTTTTTTTTCCCCTAATAACTTCAGAAAAATTTTAGGAACATTTTGAAATTTTTAAACTGTTGAGGGAAATCCACCCTTTTAGGACCAAATTTTACTTTCCCCCTTTTCCTACTTTTTTTTTTTAATTTCCGGGGGCTTGGGGGGCCCCAAACCCCACACCCTCCCCCCCCCCCCAAAAAACACACAAGGTTCCCCCAAAAACCGGGCTGTGACGGAAAGCGGCCATATCACAGGAAACCCCCCGGCCCCCAATTGCGAGGTACGCCCAACGCCTGCTCCCTTTTGGGGGGGAAAAAGGGGTTGGTTTTGGGAGATTCAATTTTGGAAAGATCCTCAAAGGTTTAGACCCTGGGATTGGGGATAACGAGTTGGGGGGGATTAAGAGAAAATTTTAAAGGTTGGGTTTCAAAGGTTAGATCCTCAAAAGGTTAGATCCTCAGAGGTTAGACCCACCAAATTAATTTTCAAGGGTTTGGGAACCCCCCAGAGGTTAATCCTAAAGGGATTTTAAAACCCCTAAAAACGGGTTTAAGATCATCAGGGGTTTTTGGGGATTTTCCCCAGGGGGGGAAAGGGATCCTAAGAGTTAACCCTCAAGGGGTTAATCCCAAGGTTAAACCCTTTCGGAGGTTAGATCTTCTTTTTTTTAAAACCCTTTAAGGAAGGTTTTAGTTTTCCTCAGAGGTTAGATCATCAAAATTAGACCCTCAGAAAAAATTTTAGATCCCTCAAAAGGAGAATTTTCCTCAAAAGATTAAGGATCCTAAAGAATTTTAAAGGAAATCCCAGAGGTTAAAGATCCTCAGAGGAAAAGATCCTAAAAAGGGTTTTAAAATCCCAAGGTTAGATCCTAAAAGGGGAAAAAGATCCTCAAAAAAGGTTAATAAACAGGGGTTTGGGATCTTCCTAAAGGGTTAAAATCATAAAGAGGTTTAAAACATCAAGGGGTTTAAAGATCCCCAAAAAGTTAGTTTCCTCTGAGTTTTAAAGTTTTACCTCTGGGGGTTTTAAAAAATAAATAGGGTTAGATCCTCAGGGGTTAGACCCTCAGAAGTTAGACCCCTCAGAGGTTAGATCCTAAAGAGGCTAGATCCTAGAGGTTAATCTTCATGGGTTTAAAGATCCTCAGAGGTTAGATCTTCAGGGGTTAGATCCTCAGAGGTTAAAATCCTCTGATTTTTAGATCCCAGAGGCAATACCTCTAGGGTTAGATCCCCCAAGAGGTTAGATCTTCAAGGTTAAAATCCTCAAGGTTGAATCATAAAGGGGGTTAGATCATCAGAGGTTAAGTTTCAACAGAGGTTAATATTGTGAAGTTAAAATCCTCAGGGGGTTAGATTCCCAAGGTTAATCTTCAGGGGAAGATCATAGGGGTTTAGATCCCAAGGTTAGATCATCAGGGGTTTGATCCCGAGGTTAGATCCAGGGGTTAAAGATATTTTTTAAGATAACCTCAAGGTTAGATCCTCGGGGGTTTGGGGGCCAATGGGGTTGGATTTTAAAGGTTAAAATTTTTGTGAAGTTAGTTTCCCTGGGAGGGTTAAAATTCCCCAGAGGTTTTAAAGGTTAATTGGGGGTTGAATTTTGTTAAGATAGGGGGGGGGTTTGGGGGGTTTTGGGTTTTTGGGGGTTTTTTTTTTTTTAAAGAAATTTGTGAAGTTAATCCTAAAGGGGTTAGATCCTCAGGGGTTAGAATCCTCAGGGGTTTAAAATCCTCAAGGGTAGACCCCCTTTTAAAGGGTTTAGATCCAAAAGGGTTAGACCTCAAGGTTAGATCCTAAAGGGGTTTTAATCCTCAGAGGTTAGATAAAACAAGGTTAGATCATAAAGGGGTTAATATTTTGAAGTTAGACCCTTTCCAGAGGTTAGATCCTCAGGGGTTAGACCCGATGGTTAGATCACAAGGTTAGATCATCAGGGGGGTTAGATCCTCAGGGGTTAGACCCTCAGGGGTTTAGACCCCAAAAGAATTTAGATTCTCAGGGGTTAGATCCTCAGGTTAAATCCTCAGAGTTTAGATCCTCAGGGGTTAGATATTTTGAAGTTAAAAACCCCTAAAGGGGTTAATCATCAGGGGTTAGATCCTCAGGGGGTTAGATCCTCGGGGTTTTAAGTCCTCAGAGGTTAGACCCCCAGAATTTAGATCCTAAAGGTTTAAAGATCCTCAGGGGTTTTAGATCCCCCGATTTTAGACCCTCAGGGTTTATATCCTCAAAAGGGTTGGTTTCCTAAAGGGTTAGACCCTCAGGGGTTTGGGATCACCCAAAGGTTAGTTTTCCGGGGGGGGGGGAGGGGGGGGGGGGGGGGGGGGGGGTTAGATCTTCTAAAAGTTAGATAAACCCATGGGTTAAAATCATCAGAGGTTAGATCCTCAAAGTTAGTTTCCTCTGAGGTTAACCCCTTTTGGGGTTAGATAATAAAGGAGGTTAGATCCTCAGGGGTTAGATCCCAGAAGTTAAAATCCTCAGAGGTTAGATCCTCAGAGGCAAGATCCTCAAGGTTAGTTTCTTCAGAGGTTTAAAACCTCGGGGTTTTAAGATCTTTTCAGGGGGTTAAGCCTCAAGGTTAAAATCCTCTGGGGTTTAGATCCCAAAAGGATCTAACCTAGGGGGATTTTTCCTTGGGGGGGGGGGCCGGGGGGGGGACCCTTTTTTTTAAATTTTTTTTTTTTTCAGGGGGGGGGATTTAATTGGGTTTAAACCATGGGAATCCCACTGGGGTTTCCCCGGGGGGAAATTTAACCTATGGAATAACCTCGGGGTTAAGGGGTTTAATTAAGGGTTTAGAAATTTGGGGTAGTTTTCCCCCCAAAAAAGGTTAGTTAAATTTTGGATTAATAGAGGACTAACCTCGAGGCAAAGATCCCTGATTAAAAATAATCAGAGGTTAGATCCTCAGAGGTTAGATCCTAAAAGGGTTTAATCCTCAGGGGTTTAGACCTAAAGGGGTTTAAAATCTTTAAGGGTTTAATCCTCAATTTAATCTTCAGGGGTTTAGATTTTAAAGAGGTTAGATCCTCAAATTAATCCCAAAGGTTTGACCCTTTTCCAATGATTTTTAAAGGGGGTTAGACCCCAAAGGTTTTTCCCTTTTCCAGGGGTTTGATCCTCTGGGGTTAAAAATCCTCTGAAACCCAAACCCCAAAGGGGATCTAACCTCGGGAACTAACCCTGAAATCTAACCTCTGGGGATCTAACCTCATTATCAACCTAAAAGGATCTAACCCTCTGGGGTTTTAGATAAACAGGGGTTTAGACCTCTGGGGCCCTAAAACCCCTCTGGGGTTAGATTCCTAAAGGGGATCTAACCCCCCCAGAGGATCAAACCCCTCTGAGGTTTTAAACCTCTGGGGTTTAAAGTTTAATTTCAAAAAGGGTTAAATCCTCATAAGGTTTTAAAATTCCTCAGAATTAGACCCTTTCAGGGGTTTAGACCCAAAGGGTTTTAGTTTTTAAGGGGTTAACCCAAGGTTAACCTTTAAAGGTTAGACCCCAAATTTTTGATCCTCGGGAGGTTAGTTTCTTCGGGAGGTTAGACCCTTTCAAGGTTAGTTTCCCCCCCAGAGGTTAAATCAAAAAGGGTTAGATCATCGGGAAGGTTAGAAAAAGTGAAGAAGACCCCCAAAGGAGGTTAGATCCTCAAAGGTTAGAAAATTGTTAATTAACCTAAATTGGGACCCTCTGTTTTTTAAAGATCCTAAAGGGGGTTTTGATTTGTGAAGTTGGGATCCCTATGGGGTTAACCCTTTCGGGGTTTTAGATCCCAGAGGTTAGACCCCAAAGGGTGAGACCCCTTTTGAATTAGATCCTCAAGGTTAGATCCCAAAAGGGTTAATCCTCAAGTGAAGTCCTCAGATTTAATCCCAGGAAGGGGTTTCCCTCTAAAGGGTTAATCCCAAAAGGTTAAAACCTCAGGGGTTAATCCTCAGGGGTTTAATCATCAGGGGTTTAATAAATCAAGGGGTTTTAGAATTGTGAATTTAAATCCTCAAAGTTAGATCCTCAAAGGTTTAAAGATATTGTGAATTTAAAATTCCCGGGAGGTTAGATCCCTTGAAGTTAAATTTTCCTAAAGGGGTTTTTAAAAATATTTGAAGTTAGACCTCAGAGGTTAGATCCTCAGGGGTTTGATCCCCCAGGGGTTTAGACCTAAAGGGGTAAAAACCTCGGGAAGGGGGGGATTGAGTTGGTTAAGGGAGGGGGGGGAACCTAGGGTTAATTGTTTTTTAAAAATTTTGAGGTTGGGGGGGGTTGGTTTAAGATTTTGGGGGAATTTTTAAAAATTAGAGGTTGTTTGGTTGCCCCCAAGGGGGGGTTGGGGGGTTTGGGGGGTTTTTTTGGGGGGGGGGGGGTGGGGGGTTTAGATCCTCAGAGGTTAGATCCACAGAGGTTAGATCCTCAGAGGGTAGATCCTCTGAAGTTAGATCCTCAGAGGTTAGATCCTCAGAGGTTAGATCCTCAGAGGTTAGATCCTCAGAGGTTAGATCCTCAGAGGTTAGATCATCAGAGGTTAGATCATCAGAGGTTAGATATTGTGAAGTTAGATCCTCAGAGGTTAGATCCTCAGAGGTTAGATATTGTGAAGTTAGATCCTCAGAGGTTAGATCCTCTGAAGTTAGATCCTCAGAGGTTAGATATTGTGAAGTTAGATCCTCAGAGGTTAGATCCTCAGAGGTTAGATCCTCAGAGGTTAGATCCTCAGAGGTTAGATCCTCAGAGGTTAGATCCTCAGAGGGTAGATCCTCTGAAGTTAGATCCTCAGAGGTTAGATCCTCAGAGGTTAGATCCTCAGAGGTTAGATCCTCAGAGGTTAGATCCTCAGAGGGTAGATCCTCTGAAGTTAGATCCTCAGAGGTTAGATCCTCAGAGGTTAGATCCTCAGAGGTTAGATCCTCAGAGGTTAGATCATCAGAGGTTAGATCATCAGAGGTTAGATATTGTGAAGTTAGATCCTCAGAGGTTAGATCCTCAGAGGTTAGATATTGTGAAGTTAGATCCTCAGAGGTTAGATCCTCTGAAGTTAGATCCTCAGAGGTTAGATATTGTGAAGTTAGATCCTCAGAGGTTAGATCCTCAGAGGTTAGATCCTCAGAGGTTAGATCCTCAGAGGGTAGATCCTCTGAAGTTAGATCCTCAGAGGTTAGATCCTCAGAGGTTAGATCCTCAGAGGTTAGATCCTCAGAGGTTAGATCCTCAGAGGTTAGATCATCAAAGGTTAGATCCTCAGAGGTTAGATCCTCTGAGGTTAGATATTGTGAAGTTAGATCCTCAGAGGTTAGATCCTCAGAGGTTAGATCCTCAGAGGTTAGATCCTCAGAGGTTAGATCCTCTGAAGTTAGATCCTCAGAGGTTAGATCCTCAGATGTTAGATCCTCAGAGGTTAGATCCTCAGAGGTTAGATCCTCTGAAGTTAGATCCTCAGAGGTTAGATCCTCAGAGGTTAGATCCTCAGAGGTTAGATATTGTGAGTTAGATCCTCAGAGGTTAGATCCTCAGAGGTTAGATCCTCAGAGGTTAGATCATCAAAGGTTAGATCCTCAGAGGTTAGATCCTCTGAGGTTAGATATTGTGAAGTTAGATCCTCAGAGGTTAGATCCTCAGAGGTTAGATCCTCAGAGGTTAGATCCTCAGAGGTTAGATCCTCAGAGGTTAGATCCTCAGAGGTTAGATCCTCTGAAGTTAGATCCTCAGAGGTTAGATCCTCAGAGGTTAGATCCTCAGAGGTTAGATCCTCAGAGGTTAGATCCTCTGAAGTTAGATCCTCAGAGGTTAGATCCTCAGAGGTTAGATCCTCAGAGGTTAGATCCTCAGAGGTTAGATCCTCTGAAGTTAGATCCTCAGAGGTTAGATCCTCAGAGGTTAGATCCTCAAAGGTTAGATATTGTGAGTTAGATCCTCAGAGGTTAGATCCTCAGAGGTTAGATCCTCAGAGGTTAGATCCTCTGAAGTTAGATCCTCAGAGGTTAGATCCTCAGAGGTTAGATCCTCAGAGGTTAGATCCTCAGAGGTTAGATCCCCTGAAGTTAGATCCTCAGAGGTTAGATCCTCAGAGGTTAGATCCTCAGAGGTTAGATATTGTGAGTTAGATCCTCAGAGGTTAGATCCTCAGAGGTTAGATCCTCAGAGGTTAGATCCTCTGAAGTTAGATCCTCAGAGGTTAGATCCTCAGAGGTTAGATCCTCAGAGGTTAGATATTGTGAGTTAGATCCTCAGAGGTTAGATCCTCAGAGGGTAGATCCTCTGAAGTTAGATCCTCAGAGGTTAGATCCTCAGAGGTTAGATCCTCAGAGGTTAGATCCTCAGAGGTTAGATCCTCAGAGGGTAGATCCTCTGAAGTTAGATCCTCAGAGGTTAGATCCTCAGAGGTTAGATCCTCAGAGGTTAGATCCTCAGAGGTTAGATCATCAGAGGTTAGATCCTCAGAGGTTAGATCCTCAGAGGTTAGATCCTCAGAGGTTAGATCCTCTGAGGTTAGATATTGTGAAGTTAGATCCTCAGAGGTTAGATCCTCAGAGGTTAGATATTGTGAGTTAGATCCTCAGAGGTTAGATCCTCAGAGGTTAGATCCTCAGAGGTTAGATCATCAGAGGTTAGATCCTCAGAGGTTAGATCCTCAGAGGTTAGATATTGTGAAGTTAGATCCTCAGAGGTTAGATCCTCAGAGGTTAGATCCTCAGAGGTTAGATCCTCTGAAGTTAGATCCTCAGAGGTTAGATCCTCAGAGGTTAGATCCTCAGAGGTTAGATCCTCAGAGGTTAGATCCTCAGAGGTTAGATCCTCTGAAGTTAGATCCTCAGAGGTTAGATCCTCAGAGGTTAGATCCTCAGAGGTTAGATATTGTGAGTTAGATCCTCAGAGGTTAGATCCTCAGAGGTTAGATCCTCAGAGGTTAGATCCTCTGAAGTTAGATCCTCAGAGGTTAGATCCTCAGAGGTTAGATCCTCAGAGGTTAGATCCTCAGAGGTTAGATCCCCTGAAGTTAGATCCTCAGAGGTTAGATCCTCAGAGGTTAGATCCTCAGAGGTTAGATATTGTGAGTTAGATCCTCAGAGGTTAGATCCTCAGAGGTTAGATCCTCAGAGGTTAGATCCTCTGAAGTTAGATCCTCAGAGGTTAGATCCTCAGAGGTTAGATCCTCAGAGGTTAGATATTGTGAGTTAGATCCTCAGAGGTTAGATCCTCAGAGGGTAGATCCTCTGAAGTTAGATCCTCAGAGGTTAGATCCTCAGAGGTTAGATCCTCAGAGGTTAGATCCTCAGAGGTTAGATCCTCAGAGGGTAGATCCTCTGAAGTTAGATCCTCAGAGGTTAGATCCTCAGAGGTTAGATCCTCAGAGGTTAGATCATCAGAGGTTAGATCCTCAGAGGTTAGATCCTCAGAGGTTAGATCCTCAGAGGTTAGATCCTCTGAGGTTAGATATTGTGAAGTTAGATCCTCAGAGGTTAGATCCTCAGAGGTTAGATCCTCAGAGGTTAGATCATCAGAGGTTAGATCCTCAGAGGTTAGATCCTCAGAGGTTAGATCCTCTGAGGTTAGATATTGTGAAGTTAGATCCTGATGTGAATGTTACAGTAAAGCCAGTGAATGACTTTAATCTCCATCTATAATTGATCTTTCTATCTTATTCCTGAATGATCTTGCTGTTCCTCTGGATTTCTCACGTCCTTCTTCTCCTTCGCTTCCCTCCTCGGCTCTTTCTCCTTGTTTCTCTCAGTCTGTCTGGGTGTCCTCTCGCTGATAAGAGCCTTCGCTCCCTCATGGCGGCCCACACCCCTGAACTCAAGTATGTCTGCTCTGCGCTTTGTTTGCCTTCTGTTTCAGCAAACTGCTGCTCCCACCATCCAGCCTTTACTCTGCTGATGTTAGCTGATCTGCTGCTGCTTCTTTCTGCACATAGATGCTTCCATCAGTCACACATAGAAATGTTTGATCTGTAAACATGTTTATGAACATTTAAAGTTGATTGATATGCATCCAGTGCCTTGAAAATGTTTCCATAACCTTTTACCTTTCTTTTGCATTTCCACATGTCAAACGCTTCAATGTGTGTTTTTGGGGATTTAATGTTTTTTTCTTAGCATAACTATGATGTTGAAAGGAGAACAGCTGCGCTTTGCTTTCAGCTGCCTTCACTGAGGCTCTAATAAAACAAACAAAAAAGTAAATCAGTTCAAAACGATTCACTCATCCTAAGAGTAAAGTTTCAGTAACTTCTGCTATCCAGGCTTCCTCTGAGCAGCTGGAGATGTTGATGGCTGTGGGCAGAAAGCTGCTCCTGTAGAGGTCTGTGTTCCAGCGGTTCAGAGGAAGCCTCTGACTCGAGACGCCCTGTTGCCCCCTGTTGAAAACACAGGTTCTCTGTGGAGAACTTTAAACTCTGCCTTTATGGAGAGAAAACAGCAATCATTTCACATTTGGTTCGTCCCAAAGCCATTGTAGTCTCTGAGCGGTCCACCTGTTCAGGGAAGCATAGCGGTGGGAGTATCATGAGCAGGGACTCCGGAGAGATGGAGAGAGTGGAGGGCAGGTCAGTCCTGGCAGAGATCCTGCTGGAGGAGGAGGCCAGGGAGGAGCTTAAAGGAATAGTACACCCAAAACATGATTAGCCTTCATTTCCTACTCACCCCCATGCTGAACAACACTCTGGAGTACTTTTTTGATATCTCAAATGCATCTGGAGATCTGGGAGGCTTCTTGCTGTCTGCTGACATTCAAATAATGGAGGTCTATGGCGCCCGAGGCAGAAAGGTCCATAAAAGTCCACAAAAAACGTGTCAATATTCCTCCATACTGCTCGTCCAATGTATTCCAAGTGTCCTGAGTGGGTAGCATCCAGAATTTACTCGAAACGAAGTCATTTAGAATGTTTTTAGAGCATAAACAGTAGTGTATAGGATTTCCTAAAAGCGCGTTCATGACGCTACGGAAACCGCGGCAGACCAAACCAGATGAAAGTGCGCATTCAGCGTCTGCTCTGCCGATAATGCACTCAGGACACTCAGGACACTTGGAATACATTGGACGAGCAGTATGGAGGAATATTGACACGTTTTTTGTGGACTTTTATGGACCTTTCTGCCTCGGGCGCCATAGACCTCCATTATTTGAATGTCAGCAGACAGCAAGAAGCCTCCCAGATCTCCAGATGCATTTGAGATATCAAAAAAGTACTCCAGAGTGTTGTTCAGCATGGGGGTGAGTAGAAAATGAAGGCTAATCATGTTTTGGGTGTACTATTCCTTTAAGGTCAGGGGGGGGATTTACCATTAGGCGTTACTAGGCATTTGCCTAGAGCCCCAAGTTCCTGGGGGCCCCATAAAACTCTTTTTACATGTATGGTTAATGCAGCTATTCCTTATTTCTGCACATTAATTATGTTTTTGATAAAAAAAATCCTTTCACTAAAATGCCATCAGAACGCTGATAATATTAAGTGTGTCTCAGCCCCCCCCTTCAGTGTCCACCATATTGGATCAGTCCATTTGCTGCACATGTTCAGAAAGGTCCAAACAGACAGCAGCAAACCATTTGAAAACAAACCATGCAAAGAGCAGTGTTGCCAACTTAGCGCTTTAGTCGCTATATTTAGCCACTTTTCAGACCCCTCTAGCACTTTGATTTCTAAAAAGCTCCTAGCGCCAAATCTAGAGACTTTTTTCTGCTACTGAAGACTTTGGAGACAACATCTAAAAGCATCTCATCCCACTGAGTTTGGTCACATTTCAGCCTCATTTCCTGAAGCTGTGATTACTGCACGAGCTGCATCAATGTTAGATTCCTCAATAGAAAAGCTTTTTTACTTTTTTAATTAACGCTTTATGCTGCATAAAGTCTGAATAGAATCCATAGAAATGTGTGACTGTGATGCAGTAAACACTAAAAAGAAGGAGAGGTATTAAAATGTTTGCAAAGACACCTTTAAGGGTTTCTTTCTAAAATATAATCCTTTCTTCTCTCAGATGCCCGACCCCAGGATGTGACGGCTCCGGTCACATCACAGGAAACTACGCCTCTCATCGAAGGTAACGAGCAGTCTGCACCTTCAGCCCAACACGCAACCAGTCAGTCAGTCAGTCAGTCAGTCAGAGAGGCCTAGTGACAGCTCATGGTAGAGCAAGACAGGGAACACATACACATTTTCACATTTTTAGGCGCTTTTGATTTGATTTTCTTTTTCATTTGGATGGACAGCCTTTTTCTTTTCTTAATATTCTTCCTTCTCATGTTCTCTCCTTTATGAAGCAGTCACCTTACCGTAACCTTTCCAACCCTCTGTTATCAACTCCATACTTTCTGTTTTCAGTCTCTCTGGGTGCCCGCGTGCCAAGAAAAGTGGAATTAAAACTCCTACCAAGGACAACCAGGAGGACTCGGAGCTTTTAAAGTTCGTACCGCTCAGAGAGCCATAATGTCTGCTTTTAGCATGACTGACGGTAAAGAGTAAAATGCAATAAAGGAGGAGCAGAGAGAGAGCAGTCACTGTGACGCTTAGGAGAACAGACCCTTTAATTGAATCTAACCATAAGCCCCACCCCCTGATGGGAACATCCCTGACTCTGGGTCTGGTTCATGTCAGAGTGATGTAGAGCTCAGTGCATGGGATAATTAGCATTTCCATAGGAAACCTGGAGCCTAGGATCATGTTGATGCTCGTAATTATTCTAAAGCAAGAAGACATTAAGAAAACAAAAAGAAATGATCCAAAAGCAGAAAGTTTTTAAACAGCCTGATAAGAACTTTCTATACATTTAGTATTTGTGAGTCTGCCTGATTTCTGGCCTAAACCTCCTTCCCCCTCTCTCCGTCCCCCCGGATGTCTCCCCCGTGTCCGACCTCTCCGCGCCCCTCCCAGCAGATGCCCCGTGCCAGGCTGCGACAGCCTGGGACACATCAGCGGAAAGTACGCCACGCACCGCAGCGCCTACGGCTGCCCGCTGGCAGCCCGCAGACAGAAGGAGGGGCTCCTGAACGGGATGCCCTTCAACTGGAAGGCGTTTAAGGCTGAGGGGCCCACCTGCCCCACCCCCGGGTGTGACGGCTCGGGTCACGCCAATGGAAGCTTCCTCACGCACCGCAGGTGAGCCGCAGAACGGCTGAGCATGCAACAATTTCATTCATTCATTCATAAACATATTTAGCTAAATATTTAGTTTGGAACTTTGATTTTTTTAAATTAATGAATGACAGTAAAAAAAATAATGCCCTTATTTTTCCTAGTCATTTATTCATTTTTATAAAAATCAAACTTCCAAACTAAATATCCACTTTGAGAAAAAAAAAATGCAAATGCACAACCCTGTACCCGCTCCCGAGAAGGAACGCCTATTAAACATGTGCACGAGCATGCACGGGCGTGCACGAGCATGCACGGTCGTAAACGAGCATGCACGGGCGTGCACGGGCGTGCACGAGCATGCACGGGCGTGCACAATCATGCACGGGCGTGCACGAGCAGCTGGAGAAGTAGAGCAAAGTTTAGCTCCACCAATGTTTAATGTTAATATGGATTACGTCATAATCGCCCTAATTCTCTGTTGTTGTATTTAAATCAAAGGCTGGATTTTTCTAAATGTTTACGTGAAATAAAATATCATTTAAGTTAGTGATGCACGATATTGGGATTTTGGCCGATATTTTAAAACTCATGTAGCCGATAACCGATATCGATACCGATGTTAAAGCAAAAATAAGTAGTCATTGAAAATAGCAGTTTTGTTATCCATTTCTGACACTTTGAAAAATAATATACTCAAATATATTTTCATACTCTGATATCAAATAGATTTTTAAAAACGCGGTATCGATCTCTTTTACTTTCAAAATCTGGTGAAATTTCATCGTTCTGTTACAAACTCTCGTGATATTTTGCAAATTCTTGTGAGATTTTGTTAGTAAAATAGATCGATACCGCGTCTATATATCAACATATAAAAATATGGCAACATTTGGTGAATTTTCGGGGGATTTCGTAGCGTAACGATGACATATAGCAATATTTCATTAGTAAAAGAGATTGATATGGTGTTTTTAAATGGCAATATATCAGCATATGAAGATATTGGAATATTTTAATGGATCAATATTTTTTCCCTCGTCTTTAGAAGTTTTTAAGTCTGTAAAAAATAAGTTTTTGAGGAAGAAGAAGTATTTTTTTTTTTAGACTTTAGAAACTCAGAAGCTGATCAAATATCGGGTTAAATATCGGTGGGGTGGCCGATGTCCGATATTCAGTTTTAAGGCCGATACCGATAGGGGGCCGATTATATCGTGCATCCCTAAGTTAAGTCCTTGTATGCATCTTAACCAGTGATGATTTTTTATACACATTCAGGCTTTTTTTTATGTTATTGGCATCTAATCAGGCATAGAGCAGTAACAGGGTTTCCGCGGGACATTAAAGATCCTTAAAAGTCATTAAATTATTATTTTTTTTAAATTAAGGCCTTAATTGGCATTAAAATTCATTAAATGTGTTTATTGTGGCATTTTAAATACTTTATTACAATTTTTTTTAATAAAAACAAATTCGTCAGACATATTATATCCCAATATATTTGCGCGGAACTGATTCCGGTTGATCGCAAAGCTGTATGTTCAGAAAAGAAGCTTGAGTCGGAGAAAAAGCTGGAGAATGGGGGGAAAAAAAGCAAATAAAAAAAAAAATGGTTGGAAAACGAGGAATATGGAACATGGCTGCAGCCCTTCAACGGGTACCTGTTGGTGGCATTAAAATGATTTCTAATTAAAAGAGCATTAAAAAGCATTCAGTTTGAGTTATTCATTCCTGTATAAACCCTGAGTAAAGACCCTTCCTGTTTGTTCCCTCAGCCTCTCAGGATGCCCCAGAGTGTTGTACGCTAAGAAGAAGGCCAAGTTCCCCTCAGACGACTATCTGAGCACCAAGTTCAGAGCCACAGACGGTAAGATGATTGATCCTAAGACACAGAGATGCCTTCATTTTACCAACAACGAGTTCCTGAAACAATGATATGAGCGTATATGATGCAGCAGGTTGACTCCAGCCTCAGCCGTCCTCCTTCCTGCAGTTCATTCAGCTTTTCCACTGTTTGCTTTTCTCCTTTAGTTCTGGACAACGATGAGGAGATCAAGCAGCTAAACAGGGAGATAAACGACCTGAACGAATCCAACAACGAAATGGAGGCCGACATGGTCAACCTGCAGACTCAGGTTTGTGTTCGTCTTTGGCTTTTTATTGATACTGATGACTTTAACATTCTGCAGAATTCATTCATTTGATTTGTCTGGAAGCCAGTTCACACAGTTTAAACTACTGGTTGGTATTAAGAGGCATGCATTTATCATCATGCATGTTTATTTATGTTTAGTAATTTTACCGACATATGGGATTGTATAGATTTTAAAGTATTTCCAGGAAAGCTTATAATGGATAATAGATCAGTGGTTTATTGTGATGATAATAAACTCCAATAAGGTAAATTTTCTGGACATTTGCTCTTCAATTTTTTTTATTTGGCTTTAATGAAAATAGATTTCACACTTTTAAATATATGACTGTATATTTCAAAGGCTCTTTTTCAATGTTTAGTGGAAAAAAGGAGTTGACATTCAATGCTGAGTGGGTTTGATTTATTTTGATAAAAGATAAAAGATTAAGACCAGCATCCCTCTGCTCTCTCTCCATGCTAGGCTAGGCTAGGCTAAGTTAGCCACCACTGTCTCTCATTCCGATCACATTCCTGCTTAACCCTCATCTCTCAGCCCCTCAGAGTGTTGCCAACTCCTCAGCAAGAAAAGTCGCCATTAGCTGTCCTTAAAGGCGTTAGATGATGTCATCACCTAATTTGCATACATCATGTCATCCATCTGCAGGAGATTCTGAATCCCTCCAATTCCAAAAAAGTAAAAATCAATCCCCTGGACTTTGTTTCCAAGTTTGAAGACGTTTCTCTTCCATCCAGGAAGCTTTTTCAATTCTAAATGTCAGAAATAGCGTTTAGTTCCAGGTTTTATCCAGCAGCACAACAAAGCCTGGTTTTAGTTTAGAAAACGTGCAAATAGAAACGGATGAACGGGTCCCCCCCTTTGGAATGGGGGTCGTTTGGCTTCTTTGTTAGCCTGCAATGCCCCATACCTGTCTATGTCTCTGAAAGGGGGGTCGTTAGAGGGAATAGTTGGCCTGGCTGAACAGGGAGGTGCTCTGCTCCCCTGTATGGGGGTTGGGGTTACGATGATAGCGGGAAGCAATCAACTCTATCGCTGCATTGTAGGTCACCCTACCATCTCAACAATCTGATGTTTCAGTGAGTGAGTGCTTGTTGCTATTAGGGGTGTAAATCACATCCATCATGGCGATTCGATTCAGTATCGATTTCCTGACCCAACGATTCGATTATTTTCGATACTCAAGAATACACCACGATTCGATTTGATTAATCGATAACTTTTTTTTTTTTTTTAGACCTTACAGGCTCAACAAAGTTTCAAGTTTGAAATAAATCAATGAAAGCTGTAATATCGTTATGCATTTTATTTTAGAAACAACAGCAAATAACAGAAGTAGAAAAGTTGCATCAAAAAATACTGCAGAAAATCATTGCAATGAGTGCAATGCAATACCTCGGCTCCAGACGCTCCGCTGCTCCTCTCCCAGATTGTAGCTGACCGCAAACAGTGCCGCAGACAGGAGGCCGGCTTGTTTTGTTTTTATGACCGAAATTGCGGAAAACAACTCGTGAAGTTTGACCCGCTAGAAGAGCGAGGTGCTCGAGAACGCTGGGACCTTTTCTCCACCTGGATCTCCGCTCTTTTTGGCCCTCATGTCCCTCCGTCGTCACACTAAACTCGCCCCCACTTCCTCGCCCGTATCTAGACCCACAGCGTGTAGCACAGACCACGCTTCAATATTGAGCATAATTTATGAATATCTGTGTCAAGCTCACTGCAACACACTGCTGTAAGAGTATAACCAGGAAGCGAGGTAGGAGGGCAAAATAGGTTTAGCGCCACCGCAGCACAGGAGGGAGAATTACGCCCAGGAGCAAATGGATAAAAATAGGCCGGAGGAAAAAAAAAAAATGAATCGATTCTCATGCGGACGTATCGATGCATCGGATCGTCGGCTGTTGGATCGATGCATCGATACAAAACGATTATTATTTACACCCCTAGTTGCTATGATGCGTATTTTCAACCAATCAGAGCACAGCTCATCTAAATATTCATGATCAAACCATAAAAGGAGAAAAACCTGTCGTTTCATTCTAGGGCTTTTAACCAGGCTGCATTAGGGCTCATAGAACAGCTAATATGACATTTTATGACATTTTATGACATTTTCATTTAACACCCTATTAGAGACCTGAAGGACCAGATACCCTATAGAATCATTCTATGAACCCTTTAAGGTCAGAGCAAGCCAAACAGGAAATACAGGAAACATGCATAGAGTAGAGCGGATTCAAATTTGACCAATCAGAGGCCTCCTGTCTGCGGTCACCTACAGTTTTGGAGAGGTGCAGCAGAGTGTCTGCGGAAGGGGGAGGCGGGGCATATCTGCGTCTACTGGTTTCTGAGCATAAATCAGCTTCTAACATAGATGGCTTCCTTCACGCCCCTCCCAAACCACCTGTCTTCTTTGTCCAACATGTGAACAAACTTGGAAACAAAGTCCAGTTGATTTTTTTTTTTACTTTTTTTCAATTGACTATGACCTGGATGACTGAGAATCTTCACCAGCAAAATTCTTTCAATTTTTCTCAGTCAAAGGAGTGCAGAGGGATAGAAGGGAGGAGGAAAGTGGAGATTTAAAGAGTTTTATAGAGAATTTTATAAAAACAAGGAATGAAAAACCAACATATAATTCAGCTATCTAGTTCCACACTCCAGAGCAATTGGTGACATAAATGCACCGTTAGCTTTTTGGTATCTAACAAAAAAAAGACAAGAAGGGGAAAAAGAAGAAAGTAGCAGCAGAGATTAGAGAGAATGAGGCTGTAGAATGAAGATACTAACCCTTATTTTATGTGAGACAACAGTGTTGGTTAAAAGTGATTGCATCTTGCATCTATGGCGGGATTAGCAGCAGCTTTGCGTATTTCATTTGCAATCTGGATTCGAGTTGGAATGGATTGGAGTACTCTGGATTCTCTCTGCTGCAGCGCAGGCAGCCTGCCCTGCATGACCACAGCGGACAGTTAGAGGAGGCTTGTGATTGGCTAGTGCAGGAAATAATCCGGTGCTTTTATGTCGCCAAAGTCTCCATTAACAGAAAAAAAGTTAGATTTGGCATCTGGTCTTTTTTAAAATAAAGGCGCTTGGAGGGTCTGAAAAGGCGCTAAAGTTGGTAACACCGGCCCCACACTTAGCCCTGCATTTCAATGTTTCTTTGCTTCACCCATTTCCTGTGTCTGGGGGTGGGGTTCGGTTTTTAGAGGTGGGGTGAGTTACACTTTAAGTCGAATTCCAATAAATAATAAGAGTTTTAAGCAGAACTGGGTTCTTGAATTTAAACTTGTTCAGTTTTTCTATGTCGGCTAGAAGAACAGTTTGAAAAAGCCAGTTAGGGAATGAATTGGTTTTCTTTTTTAATGGGAGGCATCCCAGTAAACCTCCATAGCTTGAAGGCAGTCGGTTGGGGATGGCGTTCAGGACGCTAAGCTAACACACATACAGAGCTGGGACAGGGCATGATGGCTTGGAGGTTAGACTGCTGTCAACAGGGTCTCAGATTCAGGAAAATCTTCTCATATCTGGGTTTGTTTCTGAACCGCCACAGATCTCTTCCATGGAAAAAAACCTAAAGAGCATCGAGCACGAAAACAAGATGATCGAAGAGCAGAATGAGGCTCTCTTCATGGAGCTGTCCGGTCTGAGTCGGGCCCTGATCCGCAGCCTGGCTAACATCCACCTGCCCCACATGGTGAGGCTTCCACTTCTCTGTGTTTTTCGCTGCTTCCTCCTCTTTCTTCCACTCACGGCCGTCTCTTTTGCATGGCAGCAGGAGCCAATCACGGAGCAGAACTTTGACAACTACATCAGCACCCTGACTGACATGTACACCAACAAGGAGTGCTTCCAGAGCCCCGAGAACAAGGCCTTGCTGGAGAGCATCAACAAGGCCGTAAAGGGCATCAAAGTCTAAGGCTCCACATGCGGCGCAGTTAGGAATCGGAATCGGCTCCTGAAGCTGGAGAGGCTGGAAGCATGAGGAGCTGAGAGAACAGAGGAATGCTCAACGATATCATTCAAAAACAAAAAAAAAGGGAATTCAGGTTACTCCAAAAATGGCAAATTTCAAATATCAACCCAGGGAGCGCTCTGCTGAAGGAAGGCGACCAAAATCCACACCATGCTGCTGCCGGGGTTCACAAGTCTTCAGTCAGAGTGGATGAAAGGAGGATTCGACGTGGCGTCTGATCACCTGCTGAATCCGCCGACCGGCTTCCGCGCTTCCGTTCATCGGAACGAGGCGCGGAGGCTGGATCCGCTCCCGACAAGGACGAGCTGGACGAGCGGGCTTTCAGCGCCGCCCTGTAGCATCGGCTGGACGTCCAGCAGCTGTCTGATCCACACACGCCTCCCCGCTCCCACCGGACGGCGTGCGTTCGCTCTGCGGACCTCAGAACGGCCCAGCCCTCTTTGTTTAGTAGTGTGCACACATTTCAGATTTCTAGGTCATATCAATAGTATTTATTGCACTTCATTTCAATGAATAGTTTTGTGGTACAATAATTATTGTTATATATGAATTATTTAAACTTGTGAACTTTTAAATTGTAACTTATTGCCTTTTATGTTATTGAAGTTTATTTATTTTAAACAATCTATTTATTATTATTACCTTTGTTTTGTAAAACAAGCAAACAAAAAATGCAACTTTACTGAGAAGCGGTCTGCAGATGTCTTAAGAACCTCTAACGATAGACGAGGCGTATTTTTGGTTTTTAGCAACCTTTTTACGTGCAGATGTTTTATAACAAATTCTTTTGATAATTTTACAAGAAAAGTTTTTTTTTTTTGGTCTGTTTTTTCTTGTTTTCCTCTGTTTTGTTTTTGCTTTTTCTGTTATTGGTGCAAACCCCACAGGTAAGAGGAAGAATGACAAATAATGTATTTATTATTTATTTAATGAGAAACGACTGATGTGTATTTATTTGGTTCTTATTTATGTGTTTGATGTGACGGTTGAACCTGAGTAGAAAAAAAAAGAAAATCCACCACTAATATTTAAATAAAAGACATCACTGTTACTGTTTGATTGCTTAGGCGTGAAGTTAGAGGAACCAGCAGCTGATTGTAAACCCAACAGAAGCACTCACTTCTCTGTCACTGTCACATCCTCTTTGTGCATTTTTTCGCTTTTCGTCAGGGGAAGAACAAAAAACCATTAAAAGAGAGAAAAATAAAAGATTGTGTACCTCTCCCAGGCTCTTTGTAGCAGCCAACATTGGCTCACCCAGAACCTCTACGATGCACCGAGGCTGCATGTCCTCTGACCGCCCTAAAACGTTCCACAAAGCGCGCTTTTCCAGCAACGTTTTAGCCTGGATGCATGAGTCTAAAACAACCAGCGAGGATACAATAAGGTCCTTTCTATCTGACTAACTTCTAACATACACACCCTTGTAGCCTTACTCTAGATTTTAATTTTTTGATGCACAAAGTGCCACTGATTAAAAGAAAAAAAAAAAGTCGAAGAAAAAGAGCAGAAAGGAGAGCTTACCTTTTTTCCTGATTCTTTGCATCTCTGCAATGTAAGAATGTCTGGTCCCGAGACGACCGCGGCATCGAGAGCGTGCAAATTGTTTCAAATGCCTTTATTTCTCTGCCAAGATGGCCATAAGTTCACTCTATACATTCTGTACAAATAGATTTTAAAGATGCTATATATATGAATAGAAGCATACATATATTTTTCCAGTGTAATTGTTGACTTCTTCTTCTTCTCTTGTATTATCAGAAGCTGTTCAGGCGAGGCGCGCGGCTGCGTCGTCGTGAGGCGGCGGTTGCTCCTTCTTTAATATCTCTTAGACCTGCTCAACTGTGGCTTTAAACATTCAGTCAAGCTGAAGCTGGAACAGTACTTTGGATCGCGTCCGTTTCCATCTCCCTCCGTTGCTTTGGTTTCTTTCTGCCCGTCTGTCTTCGGCCTCCATCGTCCTTCGCACACGACGACGATCCGTTAGAAAGGGAACGCGTTTCCGTTCACACATCTACGGGACGGGGTTTTCATAAAGAGCTCAACATCAGAGAAAACGTTGGTGGCGTTTCCTCCCCCCCGCCACCAGTGGGCGGTCTGGTCCGGGTGATGATACGTGTTTACATGACATCAGAGAGCAAGATGGCTCCCAAACCTTTTATTCTGGAACCTGTTTGCAGAGAGGATGTGATCGGTGTCGAACACAAACCGTAGAAATCCAGAAGAAATTTTCCGTTTGAACCAAAAATGCAGCGTGTGCACAGAGCCTGGACCGGGACAGCTCACTGGGCGCCGCAGCTCACTGGGCGCCGCGTCGTTTATCTGTACAGCTCAGAATGATGCACTGCACCACGTGTTCAGTCTATTAACCTTCTTGTTGTGTGTTGTTCACGCTGAAGGCTGAGAGCGCCTTCATGGTGGAACGGATCAGTAGATGTTAGCGTGAGCTGCCTTTGGGTGAATCCGTCCCCGTGTGTCGCTCTGACGTCCGCAGCTTGTTAAAGATGTAGTCAGCATAGATTGTGCACTTTCCCAGAAACTGTTGTAGATGCCAGCATTTGAGGAGGACAGGTCTGGGGCTGTATGGATAGCAGCGTCCCGCCTGCGTGTTCATGTTTATTCTTACGCTCTGAGAGTTTCAGGAAATCAAAGGGTTTTTAAATTCTTTTCCAAACTGGGGAACCAGACCAGATTGATGGTAAATAGAGTTTGGTTCTCAGGTGACCTGAGGCGGAGCGGAGCATAGCCACGGGTTGAGCAGTCAGCTGAGGCCAGCGGCGCTAGCAGCGGCTGGATCAAGGCCTCCTGTGAAATGAGAGGAGTGCGTGGGAGAGGAAAATTGATTTGCCGCGGTGCACAGCCGCCCCTCTGTAGTCAGAGGAGGCGTTTGTTGCATAAATATGTGGACGTCACTCAAAAGGATGTCAAAGCTTTTTTTGACTTTTTAGCCCTCTTCCCAAACCTCGGTCACCCTACCAACCCCCCCTTCTTCTTCTCGTCTAGTGCAGTCTTTCCTCAGGAAAGATGGTTTGGATGCATTTGGTTAACAAAATAGTGCATTCTTCCTCTTGAAATGCACAAGAATATCACCCAAGAGTGTTAAGAATGTGAATTTTCTCCTAACCTATTTGATATGGCGTGACCCCTTTTAAACTGCTTGATGAAATTGTCTTCTGAGGTATGTAAATGAGAAACACTGAGGCAATGAAAGCAGAGCGTTTGAAGGGAAAGGAAAGAAAAAGTCGGCTAAGAAAGCGAACTCAGCCCACGGTCGGTTCTGCACCCACGCACTCTACGTCCCCATTTACATAAAAGTACCGAGCGATGGATTCACTTCTAATCTGATGATCGGAAGCGGAACAGTTAACTGGACGGGGCTCAGCCCGACCAAAACAGACCCCCCCCACCCCCAGCAACAGAACCCGAGACTCAATTTCATTTCATGTGAAAAACGCTTTTCAGGGAATTCAGTCCTCACCAAAAGCTAAATGAGTGTAAAAAGGGGCGATTTAAAGAAATACAAAAAAAAACTGAGTGGCACTTTTTCATCAGGCTTTCCAAAATAAACCAAAACCAAAAGAAACGCGTCTTTTCCCGCCTCCCTGCCGTAGTTCTCAGATATGTGTGGTCTTATCATGTGTGCCTTTCTCCCTCCACTCATGTCAACATCTAGTCTGTTTACACCCTGTTCACATACTGCTGAAAACTCGGTCCTGATCCAGATGTCTGACTTTCAGGGGGAGGAACAAGCGTCTCCTTCCGTCCACTTTGGACGGAGAAGAAAAAAAACTCAAAGCTTTTGTCCGTATGAAGAAACTGTGATTCATTCTGTCGATTCAGGTACCAAAACCGTACGGACGGTTTCTGTGAAGGATCTGAAGGTCGGCAGCCATCTTTAGATAACTCATCAGAGTGCAGGGCATTATTTCCACTAAAGGGGGACGTCTCTGTACATATTTGTATTCAGAAGAACCAGTGTTATTGTTGTTGTATTGAAAATGGTTCAAAAATGAAATAATAGTTTGTGAGCAGAGAAAAAAAAAAATCACAGCCAAGATTTGTCCTGCTAGCACGTTTATACAGAGATGAGCTATTTTTACTGGTGATTTTCTAGACCCTGAAATCCTTTAAAAAAAATAGAACAAAACTTCCAGAAGTTAAAGCACTTCCATTCCTATAGAATGTGTGATTTCCTTTTCTAGATGTGGTTGTTCCTTTGCTACAGCACCGTTTTATAAAGCAGGACAGGCCTTGGCTGTCTTCTTAGGATTTCATGGCTTTTTGGTTTGTTTGTTCTTTGCCTTTTTTTTGGGGGGGGGGGGGGGGTAATAACACTGTAGATGGGTCATGTCTGTGGATGTGTGTTTGTGTAATTGTAAACATGTTCCCTGTTTCTGTGTCAGTGTTAAAACAGAGAAGTGATGTCTGTTATTGTGAGGGTTTGAACCATTTTAAATGTTCTCTATAAAAATCCAAATAAAGACTCATAGACCAGAGCCGCCGTACTTCTCTCTCATTTTCACACCTTTTCAATACTTTCTGAGGACCTTTTTATTTCCACCCACAAGTCGCCGTAATATTTGTTGTGCAACATTATGCATTTATGCTTAATATCAGGGGTCGGCAACCCGAGGCTGCAGAGCCGCATGCGGCTCCCTGGAGCTTTTTCAAAAATGTATGCAAATGTATTTTTTTGCTTGTTTGTTTTAATATGGTGTGCAGGAGGTCAAACTAACATTCACTATGTTTACAATGCTGTAAGCATCATAGCCATAGAGATCAGTGGTCACAGCCTGCAGGTTTCAGCGCCGTGCGGTGCCAGGCAGGTGGCTGCTGTCCCTTGAAAAACAGAATCGTTCCGTATTTAGAAATAAAAGTACCTGTCCAGTATTTAGTGGTACAGGAGCACACTTTGTCCTGTATTACTGTGAGAGTAAAAAAATAGTCAGTAAAAAGCTAATGAAAAATGAAGAAGAAGTGCACATTAGATACAAAACTTACGGTAAACTTGTTCCCGAGCCCTGCCAGATGTTGATCCAGAATCCCCTCATCTCATTGGTCGAGCTAACTGTTGCTCACAGAGAAGATAGCAGGAGACAACAGAGCAGGAAGGGGGACGAACAGAGGAATTTAAAAGCTGACGCTGCTTTTAGGGCCACTGCATCTAAGTATAGTGATGCTCCTCCTCTGGAAAAAAAAAAAAGGATGCAGAAATATAGGGAGGAATGGGAAAAAACAAATACCTGGGTGTAAAAGGTCTGCGATAATGAAAATAAAGTGCATTGCAAGGTGTGGTCCTGTTTCTCTGGCCGTGGCTGGGTGGATGTGCTCTCTTCATCCTCTGGCATGGGAGCTGCCTTGGAGCTCGTCTGCCTGGCTGTGTGTTTCCTGGACGGGGCCGCCTTTTACAGCTGCTTGTATCTCTGCTTCTGTCTCCTTGAACCCCAGTGGGCCTCGGCAGATGGCCGCTCACACTGAGCCTGGTTCTGCTGGAGGTTTCTTCCTGTTAAAAGGGAGTTTTTCCTCTCCACTGTCGCTACAAGCATGCTTAGTGTGAGGGATTGCTGAAGAGTCAATGAGTCGATGCAATCAACTGGTTTTCCTTAGATAGAAAACTTTGTATCAATTTGACTGTATGATCTGGTTGAACTGTAAAGTGCCTTGAGATGACATGTGTTGTGAATTTGGCGCTATATAAATAAACTGAATTGAATTGAATTGCAAACATGCATCTAATTCAATTTTAAAAAATTACGGCGCCAGGAGGGGTAAAGGCAGTCGGGTCAGCTGAAACAAACATCAGGTGTCCATTTTTTTTTTCAGGGAGATGACTTCCCTAGTCTCAGGCCATGGATCCCAAAGAGAAAATGTGATAACGTGTGCCAAAAATGATAAATTAATATGTCCGTCCAAAGCATGTGTTTTAGGTGTTTTTATTGCAAATACTAACAGACACGGAATCATATCGCATTCACCAAAGAAAAAAAAATCTGACAGTTTATCTCATAATTACGAGATCAATATCTCATATTGATATTATCTCGTAATTACGAGATCATGATCTCGTAATTACGAGATCAGTATGCTTTTCAGACGCGTTCATTTACAACTATAAAGCAGCCCGTGCTGGTTTAATTGCTCCTGCAGGAAAAGTGTGAAGTCAGAGTGGGCTTCTTCGCCTAAAAAAATTCTAAGGCTGACTTTACAATGCTGACAAATTAAAATGAATTCAGTCCACATTAAGGAAACTCTGTATTTACCACTGTTGCATACCTAAAAGGAAATAAAAGCAGATTAAATCTAACAACCCACTCATTGTTCATGTAACGGAGATCAGATGACTGTTCTTCCAGATCTCCTAAATATGACATATTATCTCATAATTATGAGATAATATCTCGTAATTATGAAATAAGCTGTCAGAATTTTTTTTCTTTGGTGAATGCAATACGCTTCTGTAAACAGAGAACTATACAACAGTTTTCTGTCTCTCTAAGCATCTTTCAGTCATTCTATAGGTGACCACAGGTGTCAAGTAACAAAGTACAAATACTTTGTTACTGTACTTAAGTATACTTTTTAGGTACCTATACTTTACTCCATTACTTATTTTTCTTCCTACTTCTGACTTCTACTCATTACATTTTCACATCAGTATCTGTTCTTTCTATTCCTTACATTTTTAAAACAAACGTTACTCGTTAATCTTGGCTTCGGTTTAATGTTTATAAATCTTTATTTCCAGAGATGGGAAGTAACGAAGTACAAATACTTCATTACTGTACTCAAGTAGATTTTTCTGATATTTTTACTTTACTTTACTACTTATTTTTATGGCGACTTTTTACTTCTACTCCTTACATTTTTTTAAATTGGCTCGTTACTTTAGTTTTGAATCATTTCAATGGAGTTACCGTTATTATTTTTCACGTCATCAATACCAAATTCAATCTAATTGGATGGGAATCTACGTTGCATTTGACGCACCACTACAAGATGAATCGACAGATTCGGCGGTATTCATTGGCGGCAAATCATTGCAGCTTGGTGGCGGTGGCGTTAGCATAGTAGCATGGACGACGAGATGATTGAAAATGAACACAACGGAGATCTAGTCCTATTGGCAGACATCCATTTAAAATGTAGGCAACGGCATGAAAAAAGTGGTTTCTACTTTTACTTTTATACTTTAAGTAAATTTACAAGCCTGTACTTTGTTACTTTTACTTGAGTAAAGAAGTTTAATCAGTACTTCCACTTTTACCAGAGTATTTTTTAACACAAGTATCTGTACTTTTACTCAAGTACGGAAAGTGAGTACTTTTGCCATCTCTGTTTATTTCCCGTCATGTGCTCCATCCAATGCAGATCATTGGCTCCGCCCACATCTAGTGAAAACTAGTGTGATTGGATGAGTCATAGAAGGCAAACACTCATTGGTTAGCTAAAAGAAATCATCAGAAGCAAGCAGGTGTTCTTCAAACTGCTAACGTGAATTGTCTATGCCATGCTACAATGTAGGATTCAGAAAAAGATGTTGAAATGTCTGAAAGGTCGGACACAGGCGAGAGCGTATCGGGAGACGGAGACCAACAAGACCTCCCTCATCCTTGGCCCTATCTCAGAGAATTTTTAGAAATAGTCGAAAAATTCATCTAGTGGCATCTGGCTGTTTTTTTTAAAGGTTACTAAATACTTTTATACTTTAAGTAGTTTTGGAGCACATACTTTTTCACTTTTACTTGAGTAAAGAGGTCAAGTTGATACTTCAACTTTTACCAGAGTGTTTTAAACTGCCTGATAATCCCTCTATACTTCTACTTAAGTAACAAAACTGTGAACTATTGACACCACTGTAGGTGACATGGGAATGCTATCCCTCTGGTGGCGTGGGGGTAGTACTGCATATTAAATTACTTAGGATACTACAGAGAAAAAGGAAGACAGCTGATGAGAACAGAGGATTGAAAGAAGAATGGAGCGAATCGTTTACTTTCACTGCCAATGAGGAAGGATTGCCTTCATGTTTGCTTTGGAATGAGAAGTTATTAAATAATAAAAAGAGTCATTAGGAAAGGCATTTCCAGGGAAGGCTGCTAAGTTTGTAGCCCGCCACCAAGCTGGGAGGGAGAGAATAAGTGCGATTGCAGAACTTCTGGATAAATTAGAGGAGAGCAAAGATAGATTTAAGAAGTAGATTACATCTCCAAACTCCACTACTGCTGCTAGTTTGGTTGCAACCATAGAAAACCTTTCATAGATCCAACAGGTAGCGCTCTGATGCAGGTATGGGAACTTTCTTTCTAATTTCCCCAAATCCTAAAAATATAAATCACACCAAGGAACGCTGGTGACGGAGGATGTGGGATTTCAGATAAGAGAGCTTTGCTCTGATGATGTCACTTCCTGCTTGGTTCCTCATGACTCAGGGCACTAATTTACACGAGTGAATAAAGTGAATGTGATTGGTCGTATTTCAAGGGGGCGGGATTGTTGTGGCGGAAGGTTAGCAAGCCAGTTTGGTTGTGTCCGGTTTCTCTGAAGCATCTTGCTAACCAGTTAGCATCTTAGAGCTAGCAGGTTCCCAATGGGAAATTCCATTGGGACCAAGTAGCACTAAATTGGTGACTTAGAAACGACGCTGTCAAGGAACGCTATGGACAGCGGAAACATGCAAGAGGAGGAGAGTTTAGTGTCGGAGGTGGTGGATGAGTCTCCTCCGTCATCCATTTTTTATTTAGACGAGGAAAGCGGGGACGAAGATGTTGTGGAAGAGGACGCCAGGGCGGCAGAAGCTTGGTTTGGTGTAGAAGGCTTCCAGCCGTACATGTTTGAGCCCTTGCCTCGCAACGCTGCCAGTTCTGTTAGCTCTACGCCTGCCGAAGACACAGACGTCCATCCCCGTGAACACTGGGACGCAACTCAATGGGAAAGGAAAGGATTCTGATTTCAACCGTTGCGTATATTAGCTGCGACAGATGAATCAAGATGCTATGACCGAAAACATTAGATTGACAGATGACTGTTGATATATGATTGGCCGAATTTAGGTGTTCAGCCTGACGTAGAACTAACTGGCCTGAAGAAGATAACGGGAAAAATACAGATTTTAAGACAGGTTTTTTTTTTTTATAGAAATTTTCTAACTTCTGGGACAATATGGTCTGATAAAGAGAACATTTAAACATATGTTTAAGCCAGAAAGATTTGACATTTAAATATGATTTCCATACGAATTTAACTCTGCACACATATGGGATAAATTCACAACAGCATCCATTCAAATAGGAGCTTATTAATAAAATAATTCAAAAATCTAATAAAACTAAACGGCTTCCATATAAACGCAGGAGGAAAGGCAAAATGGCAGAAATATTTATTAATAGGTTAAAAAATACGATCATAATTCAGCATAAATTTGATGTTTGAGAATCAAAGTTTATCTTCTTCAATTTTAGTCAGATTAGATTTTAAAGCAAAGAGAAATTAAAATGTT